AAACAGTCTCCATAGAATAAGTATGGGCATGCCCAGACAGTTTGCTTCAGCTTAACCTTTTGCTTCCCCCCCCCCCCTTACCATAGGTTTTAGTCAATTCTGTCTTTCTCAAATAGATTTCCAACAGCAAAGAGCCTACACAAAAGCGACTTAATGATCAAGAAGAATGCTGTACAGTAAAACATTACTGTCAGTAAAAGCAAGCCAACAGTGAAATTATGTTAGAAGAGCAGTTGAATAGACAATGGTTCATTAAAGATCACCATATTTCATGTTATGTTGTGATGCAACAAAGATGTTGAGTCCTAGAAAGTCGATGCAATATGCTCAACAGTAAACAACATGAAATCTCACATACAAACACAAAAAGTAAAGGTGCTCATACATCGAAGAGTGGGATATATGTACTTCCACACATATGCAACAAAGTACATTTTGTACATTCTTGCTTTTGCAGATGTCATCTAACACTGTCTAATGACGAGTATGATGCTAGTGCAGCTATAAAAAAAACTTAAGTAAAATCTCTATCGTTTTCTGGCTGCCTGTCGATATTGATGGATGCAGTTAAGCTACGTGGAGACACACTGTTATGCCACCGTCGGAATTAGTCGCGTGAAACACGTCAGACTGCTCTCTTGTGCTTTTTTTCTGAACAAGCTACGCCATCTATACCGTCTCGCAATAAGTTGGCAGTGCACACTTAGCGCCTTCGCATAATACTATTTAGATTTGCGTGCCAAAGACTCCGGTGCGTCACGCCACGTTTGTCTGAGTATTTCATAATGTTTGGCCTTGTTCAAGATTTTTGTTTTGTCGAGAAACTTTAACAAAGATGCGTAAACAAACAAACTGCATACCTGTGTCTTGTGCATATCAGGGTGGTACTTCCTTGCCAACTGTCGATAGGTCCTAGCCATTTCGGCCTGCAAAGGAGTGTATTTAAGTGTCAAAAAGTCTGTGACAATCGCAAAATGGAACCAAGTGACTCGCTTAGGGGCAAACAGAAACCGGTACTGACCTTGGATGTGTCTCTTGTAATGCCCAATACTGAAAGGATAAGGAAACAGGCGATTCAGGTAAGGAACTGAGCAAGACATGTCGACAGTTGTTCTTATAGGTTTCGAACTAGGCAAAAGAGGCAGCTCTTAAAAAATATACATCAGCAATGAATATTACTGTATACGGTAAAACATACATTTTTAACTCATCTGCACTCCCCCTTGTCATCCGCATGTGGAACAGCCTTCCAGATGAAATCGAAGCTGAAAGCAATCGGGAAAAATTCCGGCACCTTCTACTCACCCCTTTCCAGGATTAACTGCTCATTTTATTCATATTAAAATCAGCTCCTACACGTTTACTCACTACTAGTATCTCGCTTTTTTTTTGATGGTTTGAATACTAACATGCCATTCAGTTCTGTTGTGTATCATTCAGTGATGTTTTCTTTTGAATAATGAAAAGTCGTTTCACAATTTGTGTTTATTTTCTTAGCTTGTTTTACGTCATTATATCACGCATATACTCATCTGATTTTCATTGCCGTTCCATTCCTATTAAAATTATTATTAATATTTTCTCATTGTTATTCTTTTTAGGACTTGCATAATAATAGACAATTAGTTCATGTTATTGTTTGTATGGAAATTGTACCAATTCGTGTATGTATTCCTTTTATGCTCCCCTTACACAATGCCCTGTTGGCTCTGTAAGGTATTTTGAATAAATAAATAAAGCCATGGGTGGATTTTCAGGTATCAGCAATGAAATAAATACTAACCTAAAATCTAAGGTATATTTGGTTAACACTGTAGGTTATTCTCAGATGACGTATGGGCGTAAATCCTGGATCTCACGGACATATGAAAGAGCTAGATTATTTTGAGTTCGGACACTGACTTATAGTTTCAACACTTCCATGAATTTCCAAAAAAAACCAACCTCTTGGTCATAGGGGAGATTAATTCAGAATGTCCGACTTCAGGCGAAATTTGTGCAACTAAAGCTTTATTACTGTAGTCATTTCGCGTGGGCTGGTGGTTAATTGCTGAATAAGCCAATGCTAGTCGAAGTGGAGTGTTCAGAGAATGCAATGCTACTCGTGCCTAAGATGGTTACATGGCATTCATGCCACAAGAAAATTTGTTACTGAGCTTAAATATGGTATTTGATGTTGAATACCATCGATGAAATTGGTGGTATTTAACATGTTGCACTACGCGTAAGCTAGAGTTTTAAAAAAATTGAAAGCAACAGCTACCTGAATGTCAGATTCTATAAATTGCCATGTTCTTTTCCATGAAGCTGAAAGCTTGGACCTCTCTTTGCCGTATAACCTTGTGCACTTGAATGTGCCGCGTTATAACGTGAGGATTGTTCGCCTGTTTTGCCCCCGCACTGCCCGTCTGCGACTTTTCCACTGCGAAGGCCATCGTAGACAATGAACTCTTAAACAGACGCGATGACGGCAACAGGTTTCTCTGGTTTTTTTTTCATGATGCCACTGTGACCGGCGTGCAACAAGAAACAGGTTGGAATAACCTACGAAACGTGCACTTTCGTTAACAGGTGTCAATATGCCACACGCATGACAAGTTCTGACAGGACATAAAAGGCCAAGCCGACCAAGAGAATCCCGCGTTTAGATTAAGTGAAATTGCAAGGCGTGTTCTCGAATCTGCGAAGGGTTTCACACGTGATGTTGCGTACAGTTTCGTCAAAGCGCGGTTCCGGCCGGTGGGCGAAATCTGTCATTTTCCGGCGAAACAGCTCGACAGCAGGCTCGTACAACTTGCCCCCGCACGAGGCACATGTGACTGTAACGCTTAACGAAACCACGTAACTCTGAGCTGTGACAATCGTCATCGCGAAACAAGCTGTCACGATGCATATGTTACGCGCTCAACGAGCGAAAATCGAAGTCGGCGCTTATCCGTTTCGTTTCGCTTATCCTTTTCGGCAGTTCACGCCCGGAGACTGCATTTTTTCCCCGCTGCGTTGCCAGTGAAGCGCTAGGTCCTCCTCGTGAGATGTCACGTCCCAACACCTTCGGTCAAGACATGCCGTGTGGAAACCCACGTCGTCGGCGGTTCCTCGAAGAACACGTCTTGCGAGCGGACGTGCGCGAAAGGGATTCACTCACCATCGTAACAGTTCTCCCTGCCGCAGTAGAGTCCATCGATAAATGCGTGCGACGCGGTGACGCAGAACACAGCGAGCAACGAGAACTGTAAAACTCGCCGGTGTATTGGCATCCCGTCTTTCTCACGGATCTGTCAGCATCACCTACGCGCGACGTCCAAGTGGCAGAAGACTCCGTGAAGATCGGATTGGATTGGATTCGCTCCGCAACCGCGTGCGGCTTGAGCTGGCTTTCTTTGGTTGCCTGACCAGGGCACGGAATGCGGCTAATGAACGTGCCTAAATGTCCCTGGACTTTTTTTTTCTTTTCAAACGAAAAAAATCTTGAGACTTTATTGAATGTCTGAGTTGGCAAAATGCTTCGCAACATACTGCCTGAATCGCATGCCATCCGGTAGCATATGAAATAGTACCGTCGACGACAGTTAAGATACAATGGCTGTAGTTCAGACCAGTACATAAATGGTAGTGTATAAGTGTTCTGGGCCAGTACACTGTAGTCCAGACAAGGAACACTATTTCTTGCACTGCTTTTGCGCCCCGTGCAAAGCTAGTTTCCCAATTAATCTGTTAGCGTTCGCTCAGTTCTTGACACCAGAGTACAGTGAACTAGAAATAAGTGGATCCTTTCAGACTAAATTGTTAACTGATAAAAAAAAAAAAAAGTGACTACCAATGAAATGTACAGATCCTTCAAACAAGAGAGCACGATGGTCGACAGCCAATCTGTTTTGTTTTTGTTTTTCGTTTTTTTCTGCCCTATTTCTTGAATCAGATACAAAAAGAAAGGTAACAAGAGACATGTTTTCTGGTACAGTCGACTGCTCGATTTAAAGCACCCTTCTTGAAGTACATCTCTAAGACACCTTTTTCCATGCAGTGCTCTAACAAAGAGGAAAGATTAAACCCGTTCCTCAAAAAGAAAAAAATTAAAAAGGGGGGGGGGGGGGGGATGACGCAGCACTTCTAGAAGGCTTCAGGTGTTTAGCAACAGCTTTGCCATTCAAATAAACATATTCTCCTACAGTGTTTGTTCACAACTCAGCATGGTTTTCTTTTGTTCGATTACAACTGAATCTACTAGCATGCCAAGAGATTCTGTAAATCTTCTGAAGAAGCATCAAGATGTGGGCTAGTAGATAGGGATAAGTTCATCTTTAAATGCAAAAAAGGAGGCTAGCCTTTCATTTAGCTTCTCTCCTTTTGCTCCACCCATTTTTGCACGATAAACACAACCTTTAACCCTTTTATAAGAAGAAAAACGTGCCAAAATTACCAGAAGTGTTCCTTTCACTCAATTTATAGAGCTATTTTTTGTGAAAAAACTTTTGTGTTCCTTTATTACAGTGATTACAGAAAAATTACGTACCAATCATATAAGTGACTTGAATTCCATTATGTCACTATTTGTGCAAAATTTATAACTCGAAAAAGGCTTCACCGCACGGGAATGCAATTACAGACGGCAATACAATGAGAGCCGAGAAAGAAATGGCTCAACATGGAAGAGCGTGGCCATCTAGCGTAAAGAAACACAAGTATGACAAGAACAGTTCTTTTGTTCCGTAATCTCATGACAACTACTATACTATCAAATGGCAGCGAAATATTTAAACCTCGCACAGATGTACTTTAATTGCTACTTCTGTTGGGAACATGAAGTGTCATATTGTGTGCCAGAAATACAGCAGTACACTTTCACAATTTGTATTTTGCGGACCCTCATGACACTTCCCCAAGGTCAGTGCTAATATAGCACAACTTGGGATGCATAAGGTCGATGAAGCACCAATACAGTTGAGGTCACACACAACGGGCTCCGGACATCTTAGTAGCGCACCGTTCCAGCTTCCTTCAGCCCAAGCACTGATTAATGATGCTTGCTTCTCAATCTAGCCATATTCAACTAAGACAGCAGCACACAGTTCTGAGGGCAAGCTATCCGACAGCTCATGCGAGGGAGTAACCAGAAGGTGCTTTGAAAATCTTCGGTGCCATGCTTGTGGTGCCGCTTCTGAACCACGGAAGGTTGGCGACGTGGAAGCGGGATGTCCACCGGGTTCTTAACCTATGCCTTGGCCTGTGGCCTGGTGTTGCTGATGTTTGTTTTGTACTTGTTGGTGCCCGCGCTCTTCTTTTAATCATGGCTTTGATGTGGCTGTACAAACTGGAAGCTGTAAAGAAACCACATGGCACACATTGCAACAGCTTCGTGTCACTGAATCTACACTCAAACCTTGATATAATGAACCCAAATATAACTAAATATTGGTTATAACGAAGTAAATGAAAAATAGTCTTGCAATAGACATAATGTTTAGAATATACCTTTAAAATGAATTTTCAGATATAACGAACTTATTTTCGTGTCCGATGCAACTTTGTTATAATGAGGTTTGAGCGTATAGAACAACATGCGCTACACAAGGAGGGTTCACACATTGAGTACATGAATGACCACATAGTGGCTTTATAAAACAGGAAAGCAGCTCAACTTGTGATTATCTCAACTTTAATGTACAGTTGACACATCTGTGGCATTTTATTTTTCGTCTAGCTGCCATAGAACATCACATTCGACAAAGAAAATTCAATTCATGCATAAGCAGATAACCTTGTACAAATGTTTGGACTTCAGTCAGAAGTTGGAGGAAATGCACAGTGGAACAATATCCGCTGTCCATTCCTACAGTGACTACAGTTTTAGTGTTTCAATGTAATTTTTTTAGGTCATCATGAGCCTGCATTTAGGCTAAACTTCACAGTTAGAAGAATTTATTACCACACCAAACAAACGAAGAGGGCCAGAAACAGTGTGCCTGTATTTTTGTACGCTGATTAGAAGGACAGATTTGGTTAATCACAGATATCAGAGTGGCAAACATTGAAAACTCATGCTTGATACTGCATATACCCATGTGAAACACATTTAGTGTCCTAGGATTAATTTCCGACATGAGCCACGCAACCCACTGCAGTAAAAACACAAATATATACTAAACCTACTGTAGATGCATTGCGCAGTTGCATGGATGGCCAGGTATACAAGACAGATCATCATGGAGGCAACTTCCCGAGAAAGCGATAGCTTAACTTCTGCAACTCTGTCAGTTCATAGCAACCACCATTCAGTATATGTTTTCAAGTTTTAATACCTTCTTCCTTATCCCGCCTGGCATCCGGTGACACTACATCAATGGACAGGATATCCTCCTGTGCAAAGTGCAACCGCAGGTAGGCTATGCCGATGCCTGTTACAGCCAGGTTTACAATGCAGGCAACGGTAAGGATGAGGACCATCAGCTTCTGGTTGCGCTTCTTGGCGTTTGACTCCTGGATAAAGCCAGGGTCACCTGCTTCCACATCTGGGAAGGCCTGCCTTTGGAGACCACACCGGCAGAACCCTGCATGGCCAAGGTTTATAAAAGGAATTACTGACCACACTCAAACCTCCACATAAATGAACCTTGATATAACGAAATATCAGTTATAACAAAGTAAATGGAAAATAGTCTAGCAATTGATATAGTGTTAGGAATATACCTTTGTAATGAATTTTAGGATATAACAAATTTATTTTCATGTAAAATGCGACTTTGTTATAGTGAAGTTTGGGTGTACAACCAATCTCTAGCACAAATATGCATGGACAATCGTACAAATTTCTCAGAGAGCAAGATTCTTTGGTCAAAAACAAATTTGTCCCAGTACCGAGATCAAACTTGGGACCAGTGCGTTTCTAAGGCAGTCACTTCAAGTGAGCTAGCCAGGATGCTCGCAATTGGCAACGCGAGGATGAAGTAATGGACAACTCGAAGCAGATGAACACAGAATATTGCCAATGAGTTCTGCAGAGTGCGATAAAGTGGTCAAAGGGATATGAAAAAGATAATTACTAAAGGCCTTTGTCCTGGGTTTAATAATCGCACCAGGACGAATTCTTATTTACTTAATTATTTATTTGTAAAAACCTCAGGGTACATTTGTACATTGTAAATAAGATGGGCAGAAATATAGTTGAACAGCAAAATAAATGCAGGGGCATGTTAACACATTACTGTGAAGAAAAACATAATAGTAAATATTACATGCAAGGTGTACACTTTATTAAAAGACAACTGAAGTCAAAACACAACGAACATACTAAACAGCCAATAATAGTTATGCCCGTTAGTACAATTCACGATTGCAAGTTTATTAGTGCATTCTTAAAACGAGTGGATTTGGTGATGGTTACTAATGATGCAAGTAGATTATTCCAATCTATTGGGGCCTTAGGAAGGAAGGATTGTGAACATGCTAAGGTGTTGCGACGGGGTACGTTAACCTTATGTGCGTGATCATGGCAAGCTGAATAGTACGGTGCTGAGTGAATCCAAAGTGAGCAAAGGAAAACTGTTAAATATTGTGTGAATGAGAAAAAGCGCCACTATCATCATTAAGAGAGCACTGGCATTTGCAATAACGAAGAGGTCGACGGGTGGGCTTGACAGTGCAGCCCCGTGAGTGCAGGCATCGTCTGGAGGCTCGCGAGACGGGAGCCCTCACGTCTTCTTCGGCTCAGTCCTGACTCGCTCTTCACGACGATGGCCCGATATGCACAAGATTATGAAGAACGATAGGCCGACAAGTTACAGATATTTGTTGTGTGAACCTTCTGCGATGGATGCCGTGTTGACTCTGACTTCGCCTCATGACACGGCCGGCCAGTGATGTCTCCCGTTTTCGACACTGGACCGGATCATGGAGGCCCTCTACGAAAGGCGGAGTCACCACGGCATCTATCGCAGAAGGTTCGCACAACAAATATCTGTCACAAGGCATTGTGGTAATAAATTTATGAAATAATGAAATGCGTGATTCCTTTTTGAAAATAGAAAGTAATGAGATATGAAGCGTACTCTTCATTAATGTAACACTAGCAGTGAGATGATAATTACCGAAGATAAAGGGAACAGTGTGATCTTGTACTGATTCGATTTTGTTAATTAATGTGACTTGATGAGGATCCCAGATGGATGAGGCATATTCCAGTTTGGGGCAGACGTAGGTTATATATAGCAGTCGACGATCTTTTGCATTGCCATAAGACGCTACCGCTCAATTTTTGCGTTAATCAGGCATCTAACGCTTTCGCTTTAATAAGCACTATTGTCAAGGTCTTGAAGTAATGACTGAATTTGCACAAGCTCTTCAGGGAAAAAATTGGAGCTGTTTTTCTTCCAACATGACTGCTCTATTCCAATGAATAAAGCTGCCAGTGAGCTCTACTCAGTTTATAAAATGAAACATTTATTCTGAACACCAACAAGTTCACTGCCCCAGGCAGCAATGAGCGAAAGCAGCTGATAAAGACTCACTTTTAATATAAACCCCCGGAGTGTCTTCGCTGACTGTCAGTGTTGAAGCCGCTTCGGTAGTGTTCTGTGACGAGCCCAGCACCAGGCGACAGTCATCCTGTACAAAAAAGGGTGCAAACCAGGGAAAATGTGTGAAAAACCTGTTGGCATAGGGACAAGTGACACCAAAAAATAACAAAACAGTGAACGCAGATAACTCAAACCTCGTTATAACAAACTCACATCCGCCAAGAAAATACTTTGTTATATTCAAAAATTCGTTATAACCATATATCCTTAACACTGTACTCATTACAAAAACTATTTTGCCCTACCTTTGGCATAACCAATAATTCGTTATGCCTGGGTTCGTTACATCAATGTTTGAGTGTAGCAGTTAAGTTGGCCACTGTTCGGCACGAACCATGGACTATTTATACTTTAGAAATTAACAGTAGATCCAGGGTCACAAGTTCACAATGTGCTAAAATATAGACACACTGAGAAGATGGAATGTCAGCTCCAGCTTAGTACATATTCTCACAAATCATCGTGAAAGAATTAAACTTCCCATATGTGTTTTTTGCACAAATGAATTAAACTTGAACCTAGATGTGTGCGGGTATGCTCGTAGAAAATTCAATGCCACATTATTGACATTTTATGAGAGCGTTGCTAGCTACTAGTACAGAAATGCTTGGAAGTACCGAGTTAACAGTAGGCCTATATAACAAATGTATGGCAGTTTGAGGCGCCACTGTCAAATTTACAGACATTTGACGACACTGGCGCACTACTTCAATGTGATACCTACTGCACAAAGGCTTTGAGATCATCATCATCAGCCTAACTACGCCGACTGCAGGACAAAGGCCACTCTCATGTTCTGCAAGTCAACTTGGTCTTTCCGTTGCTGCCGCTACTTTATAACTGCAAACTTCGTAATTTCATCTACCCACCTAACTTTCTGTATCTCCCTTACTCACTTGCCTTCTCTGGGAATCCAGTCAGCTACACTTAATGAGATGAATGTGTGTGAAATAACAACAAATAATGTTAACCTGCTCAGTTTGCATACTATACATACATTCCATTAGTTTAACATCCTGTGCATTTCCATTTATGCACATCACACTTGCTGAATTATAATGTCCTGTAATCTAACATCTGATATCACTACCTTTGTACTCACACCTATTTTACTGTACTTGCTGCTGTTCTTGATGTGAATCTACTTTGTTTTTACTTTTGAGGGCTAGTAGTTTTTTATGCTAACATGCATTGCTCATAACTTTGTAGCTGATGCCCCTTACAAAATGGCTCTGTGAAGCCTGTAAGGTATTTGTAAATAAATAATAAAAACACTCACTGCGGGAGTCACTGTTGGGTCTTCAACTTCCATGTTCGTGGCTGGCGAGGGGGTAGCGCGAGAGCGCACTCTCCAAGGCCTACACCATCGTGGCTTGCAACACACAATGCCAGGAAGCAGACACCATGGCTGAGGAGGCCTTTCTTATTATCCAATGTATGGCTCATACCCACTATTTTGAACATATTGAGCTTGTTGGCAGATTTGTTGCTACTTATAATGAAGAATTAAAATTTCAGTATTGCTACAAAATGGGCTCGATGAAAATGGAAAATTATGTGGTGGAATGATGGCGATGATCGTTTTAAAAAATTCTCAAGTTTTCTGACTGATTACTTTAGGTTTACATTCACACTGTTTTATTAGTTCTTTTTAATTACAAATGTGGTATTTCTTCATTGTGCTTCATATGCTTTTTTTGTTTCCTTTAAATTTTTTTCTTAGTTGACAGCCTTTCTTGTTTCACATTATCTTGATTTTTTCGCTGCCTAATTTATACATTTTCTGTCGCTGTGTTTCGTATCATGGTTCCACCCCCTACATCTTTGTACCATGGGACACAAGTCAGTAAAATAGGTATTGGTACGCTATGGTTTTGGTTTATATTTATGCTAGTAATAACGTTTAACAAGTAATACGAGTAGAATCAGTAAAAGTTTATTTAAAAATTATACTGTCAGATCGGGAATTTGATTGAAATCTATATGAAATTCCTTGATAGCGGTGCAATCATCCTCGAGACTGAATCTGACAGCACAGGCCAAAAATGAAAGAACAACAGGTGCTGTTATTATGGAGACAGAAGATTATGATAGCTTTGTTCTTGCAACAAGAGAGCTACCTTTGCTTTACTTCATACTTTTCATACTGACAGCTCATTTTAATAACAGTACGAAACCCATTTGTTGGGAAAAAAATGTGTGGTCGTATAAAATTTTACCGGGTTTCATTATTCTGGTTTCTGAATTTCGAAGCCAACGGCAAAAAAAAAAAAGGTAGTGTTACTGTTTTTGAATGCGTGAGGACAAAGTGTTAGAGGACAAAGAAGACATGGTTAGATATTGCCATTGCGATGTCTGATGCGATTTTCAATTTCAGTCAGGCTACAAGACATGCACCATTTTAATCTCTACTTTAATAACTTTCCTTGTAGTAATTATAAAATGTATATTAGTCCAACACATCTATTCAAAATTGTTTAGGTAGGGTTAATACAGCTGTTTTCCTAAATTACCATCGTCACTCAAAACTATTTTGCTCCTCCCTTCCCAGAGTGATGTAATAGGCCAGAGCAAACTATACCTCAAGCCAACCTTTCTGCCTTTCTGTAAATAAATTCTCTCTCTGGTCTGCTTGCATTATTGCACAATAAATACAGTATTTTATTGATTCATTATCTATTATTTTCTTTTATTCAATTATTTTTATCAATGAACCTTCTATTTATCAGTGAAAATGTTACGGTTTACTGTATCTGCTAATTTCCCAGTATGTGTGTGTGTATAGTATCATGGGCACAAACAAGCACACTTTGATTAAAGTGCCAATATTTTTATGTTCTAACGATTTTACCTCGTATTTCCCACAATGTACCTCTTATGATATATGCAGATGATTGCACGGTTCTCGTTGAGAGGAGATCTTGCAACAAAAACACAAGAGGGAAGTTTGCATTATCAGTTGCAGGCGAGGTGCCAGCTCAAAAGTAAAAAACCAAATGTGTGTTGTTTTACACCGAAGATTCTTAGATATAACAGATGACCATTTAGTGCAAGAACCATTAAAAATCAAAATAAAAAAATTCATTAAAATTATAGCTGTAATTTTTTAGATGATGTGTCCTAAAATAAACAGTAAAATTTTTATTACCAAAATTGAATAACGCAGTGTATTATGTCGAAATTGCCTTACAATTCCAGTAAACCTTAGAAGGATGTTTTCATTTGCAGTCTTGAACTCTTACTTATGAGTACTAATAGGGGCTAACACAAATGTTTCAAACTTGCAAAACTGCTACTCATTCATAGAGAAGCACTTCGATCAATAAAGATTTCCTGGTTTTCAGACCGCACTGAACCTGTTTTATAAACAAAGATTTATTAAATAAACACAAATTATGTTTTTATAAACCCAAACACGAATTTGTGTTTCATAAACACAAATGATGAATGATGCAAATATATACAAATGTAAACCATTGAGGTCCTACAGGAGGGCCACATCAGATAGAGTGAAACTATTTAAAAAGCTAGCAATTCTTAGGAAAACAATTTTTTAGCCTTTCAGGCATCACACACCGCACTGTTTTCTTCTCACGTATACATTATAGAAACAAAAAGCTCGAGTGCACACTGGCAACCACCCTAAATGAGCTAAGCAGAAAAAAACGTTGATGACCTCAGTCTCCTCATCCATACCAACAAAGCCTTACTTAGCCTGTTTTGCAAGTGTCAGAGAAATTCTGATGCATGTTTAAATAAATGTATCACAAAATTGTTTTCGTAAAAAGTCAATGTACTGATATTACGTATTGTTTGCATTTGCTAAAATGCATGTACGTAAGAACCATTCGCTATGTCTCTATCAAGAGTTACCCAACAAACCAATTTGTCACTACTGCTGAACGAACAGCCAGAGCTCAGTTAAGCTGTGTGAATGTAGCTTTTTTTCTATGGCCTCGTACATATTGCTTGAGCACATTGTATTGTTTGTATTGAAATTAAAAGTCGATTCATTCATTGACTGCTTGAATAGAATGGAATGAAAAAAAGTGATTATTTTCTATATTGCTTGAATTTGCATGCAAAATATGATCTGTGAAAATATATACTTTGTTGCATTTGTCTACACAATGCCAAGTTTGGTTTTTTCTGCCCTTACTCGCATCACCACTACATTTACACAGTCTTTTAACCTCGCCTCTGTCTTCATTTTCGAAGAATGATGGCGACATAATAAAAACAGCTTAAAGGAAGTTTTTCGCTAGAGCAACACGTTGAGTCACACTATAGCCGAGTCATAACAATGAAAGTCAGTTGGAATTGTGTGCAAAAGGCTATAAAAAATTAATGAGCGGTACAACTTCAGAAGAGAACACAAAATAAGTAGCTGCCTTGTGTGACCAACAAAAAAACACATTAGGAAATGTTCAAAACGACCTGACCGGAAAAAAAGAGAGGTTTCCTGAAATTTAATCTTCAAACGTGTGCAACACTTCAATTTTTTCGTTGATATGGCAATTAAGCATGCCACGGTAATCAACTAAAGTTGGATAACAGGAATTGAACTTGAAAAATGAGGCAGAAATTGATTACATAGTTGAGTGATATGCATGTCACCTTTATTTTTATCAAAAAGTACAATATACATCATCTATAACGAATTAAAATGACTCGTAGAAAGAAGCGCTCAACGAGCTCAACTCCACAAAAGGTCTGCGCAGACCTGCGCAGTTCGAAGTTATATCAATGCTCAATAGAAAAAAAAAACAAAGTATAGTAAAGAGAGGCCTTCAAGAATGCCTTGCCTAATGCCCCATAAAATATACCACATTATAGCTTCCCAAAGGAATGATAAATCATAACTAGAGGCCTGCTGTACAGCCTACAACAAACATGTACGTCTAAGTAGCACTTCTATTCATAGAGCTAACACTGTTTAAACTTGTCACGGGGTATGATCAAATGGTTCAAGGTAAAAACACGGAGAAAAAATGTGGCACAAAGATGGATGCGACACCGTTTCTGCTAATTCAGTGCACCAATCGCAATAGTCCTTCCCGTATATTACGTTACATACTCAGTTGGATCAGGTGAAGACTCATTTTAATGGGATCACGGTAAGTGTAGGTAATACTCATTCTAAAGGTATTCAAGTTGACATTTCTTGCATATCGAAACTGAAATAGAGAAAAGACAAGAGTTTTCCCTGGTGCACTGGCAGGAAGCAAAATACATTTTAAAGAAAACACTGTGAGGTTATCTACAATGCAGACGAACAACACAAGACGTAAGTAGACGTAATCATCCTCCTCAATAAGTCCTGATCTGTGGCAGGTACCTTTGCTATAACATTGATTTAGGATACTGAAGGAGTTTTTCGGGCGAAGGGAGGTATTGTCATGTCTAACCACAAAGACACCTGTGTGTTTTAAATTCTTGTCTCTTAGTCACTGCATTTGTAGATTTGGGCATCTTTCCAAGGATTAAAAGAAAAATCATAAAATCCAGAACAGCGCCTCTCCGTCCTCTCACACTATGATATGATAGTCTCCAAGCTGAATGTTTGTCATCGCTTGATATTTCTAAATAGAAAATGATGCGATGACAACGAGGTTTGTACGCTGAAGTTAAGGAATGAGTAGGCGGATCGTGGGAGTGATGACCAACGCCACTTAGTCCTTCTTTGGTCTCGACACTCCCATTTTCGCGTTGAAGTTCATCCCAGCGAAGAGCACCACAGACGTGACACCGCACAACGCCTCCAGGAGGATGAAGACAGCGCCCCAGTTGTAACGGTTGGCGACAATACTGAATGGAAGCCCGGAAATTACGGCGCCAACTGCAGACAAACGTGAAAAAATCGGTTATGCTTTTGACCTGATTAAACTGAAAACAAGTCTTAATTGTACATGTTTTTTTTTTTTCATGAAACAGAAAGCTTACTGGTTCGAGTGTCTAATCATTGAGTAGCCACTCCGACGATAAAAAATGCTGAGAAAAATTTTTGTAAAAATTTTTTACAGCAAGTTTTTTTTATGTGCTCGCGACACACGCGAGCACATAGCATGCGTGCACCAAGGTGTGACATGGTTCCCCTAGTCCAGACTAGATGAAACGACGTGCCAGTTTTTGAGACTTTCACAAACAATTTAAAAAACAAGTCATATTAAGATAGCGAAAAGCGTGCTCAGATTCGTCACTATAATTCGAACAATGCCTTGTGGCATGTTCGGGATGGAGTCCCTTTAAAACATTTTGTAAAAGTCCATAAGTTCTAGTTGTACAGTGCACGGTTTCAAAATTTCCCAATTGTATTATTTATAGCAAAACAGAGTAAAGTAGGGTGAGACTGAGAAATAGCTTCATGTCTTTCATCTTTCTTTGTTCCCTGCTGCATGCGAAAGATTTTTTTTTTATGTTCTAACCTCGATTTTTTTTTTAACGAATGGGCTGAAAGCACCTACACTCAAATACACAAAGTAGCTGCTACATTTCAGCAATGATCTTAGACAATGCTTGAACTTCCTATTAGGCATGAACAGTCTGTATTTTAGAATACTTCCAAATGTAGCACGGAGGTACTGAATCTACGTGCACTACGTACTTAAGAAAATACACCGTGATACACTCAAACCGCATTATAACAAAGTTGCACCTAACACAAAAATAAGTTTGTTATATCCAAAAGTTCGTTATAAAGGTTCTATTTCTACACTATATCTATTGCAAGACTATTTTTCAATTATTTTGTTGTAAGCAGTATTTCGTTATAGCCAGGTTCGTTATATAAAGTTTTGAGTACTTTAACCTTTGCTGCCAGTTTGAGGAGGCAGATGTGACACCCTAAAGAGCACATTGCAATGAAACTGCCTCACTGATGCAGCATTCAGTATGGATATAAAATTCGGTAGAGAGGAAGACAGTGGGAGAACCACTCACTGCTTGCTGCAAGTGCAACAATGGCATGTGATGTTCCCGACAGGTGGGCCGGTGCAGACTCCGAAGCAGCGACACCAAAGATGGCAATCGGTCCGTAGAGGCAGGCACCCAGAACCAGGCCAATGCCAGATATCCACAGCTGCACAAGCAAATGACGAAAACGGAGATGGCTTCAGATACAGACGACCCCGAGTGACGCCTTGTGTAAGGGTGCCTGCTTTGATGTATGCCTAAACTAACTATTTTTTAAACTGGCATACTTTTTTTTTTGTACGCAGAAACGACGGTTTCATTACCAGTGCCGCCCTACTGCTGAATTTTCGAAGCAGACTTCCTTCAGAGAAACAGCCGTGTGCATGAGTGTGTGTGCACGACTTTGCGTGCACATCCCGTCCACCCAAATTTTCTAGGCCGTTCCCAGAAGTTCTGTTGCAATCAACTGCAATAATCATCACAAAAACCTTACAATTATCTACCTCACATCATCAGGCGTGTTGCAAGTTAAAAACAAATCAATAAATGAAACACCTAGCTTTTTTTACCTGCTTTCTCAGAAACATGCCTTTCAGTCGACACACAGCCGGCTGCACACAATGTGAAAGTTTAAAAAACAAATCCGCCTAAGCAAATAAAGAAATTTACAATCATACCTGTGGTCACTTTCAATGTGCAAAGCAGTAACACAATACGTACTGAATTCAGTGAACGTGCTGGAAATTCAAGGTGGTGTATCCCTCTCTTTTGTTTTATTTGCCCACGTTCAGCACCAGTATTTACGTACATTTGTTAATCACTCAAGCGTTTCAAAGCTACTTTCAAGAACAACACTGCCCAAAGGAAAAGTACCGCCTTACCTCCGAGGATTCCTTTCCTACATTGAAGCACAAAAGGTGGAAACAGCCAGCTGCCCCAGCCATGAAGAGTACCGCAACAGGTATTCTAGGGTTCGCATTACTTTTGCTGCCCTGGAAAAAGAAAATATAAACAGCGGACGCCACTCCAGTTCAAATGTATCATAACTGTTTTCAAAACCTGGGAAGATAAAAAAAAATCATCAGGCATGCACGGAACACGCAGCACAGTCGCAGCAAAATCTGAAGCAGCAACGTTTCGAGAGCCCGTTATAAACCCTCTTGGGGAGACACAGTAAATCATCATCATATTGCAAAGTTTGGAAGTACCCGCTATGCCATTATATTCGTCATTCCGTGGAGAAGTGGGGTACCCACTACACGTCTGAAAAGGCATTAAGTGCACTCTGTCGATGGCGTCGCTGATGAGGAATTACGGATGAGCCCTTTGTAGCAAGAGGGAAGCTTTTGAACCACCCACTAATAACACAACTCACACCGTGTGGCACCTGGTGAAATTTTAGTCTTCTACCACACTATGTTGCAGCTCTAATGAGATTTCTTGCCCGAAATGACGTCTGCATAGGTCTTTTTGTGAAGGAATTTCAAGCACTGGCATGGTACTGGATAGAATGCTCGACTACCACGTATGATTTCTCAGTCCACCACTAGATTCCCTTGTTGTTTTTTTTCTTCTCATTGTGTACGATAGCTGTTGCAGACACTGGCAGCAATGGTTGCAATGAAAAACTACGTCGCAAAAATTAACCGTTGCAATCTCACAATTGCTTTTGCTTAAACGAGCCTGCTTTGTAGTGCAACTCCAAGGAGCCAGAGGTGCACCAGCACCTTTTTATTTATAGTGTCCCATTCACTTGGCTTTGTCCCACTCATCTTGAATCAGTAGCTGAAACATAGTCATTGGCCGAGGAACAATGCAAGCAGGCCGGTCAGACCATGATTTCATAGGACGTAGCTAAAATCTTACAGGAAAGGACACGCAATTTATCAAACGTTACTAGTTTTCATTACTGTTGTCCCATGCTGCAATGAACTGTTCTTCCAAGAATATCACTACACGGTTCAAGTGACACACAAGGAGAGCCACTGTGAATTTCATTCTGAAAATATACTCAGTTACAATCTAAGAAGGAATAAAATGTCAGCTTCTCCCATAGCTATCACTGTCCCTCCAACAGACAGTTCAATAGTGTTTACTAATTTTGCCGAAATTAAGCCCCTCTGCAGTGCTTTAAATATAGCTGACCTTCTCACACAGACATGTCTGTTTCACTGGTTTTAGGTTATAAACTTGAATGTCCCAATGAATTTCGTCAGAAAATTTTGATATCACCACTCAGCCAAATGTAATGTTTTATGTAATAGCAATGAACATTTAAATCTTAATACAAGCAGCCCTTCACAAGCGAAGGGCAGGCCCATTGCAGTTCTGTGGGCAGAGCTTACATTTCTTTTCTCAAGTTGTAACGAAGGGTAGTGGCATAGCAAACTTCACAGCCAAGTTGCTGCAGAAAACATTTTGTATCTTGGAATCCTCGCGATGTGCCACAAACAGATTAGCGAGGACGACACTTCAGGTTAGCACTGCCTCAACATCCACTCTCTTGCAACATGGGTTACCCAAGCGACCGAGAGCAGAACACAGAATTGGAGGACACACATTCTGCAAGCGAATGTGGCTCACTCCATAGCAAGCATTTGTTTTCTTTAGCTGATCGTGTGTGGCGGTAGGAGCTCACCTTTTTGACATGCCAGTGCAGAAACCAGTCAGTGAGGTAGCCTGCCAGAATGCCTCCAAAGAACCCACCAGACTCTATGCTGCTTGTCAGGGCACTGCCTAGAAGAGCAGAAGAAAATGCAACTTATCCTCCAGGCAGGACGCAACTTATCGAAAATGTAACCCAACAATGATGTGATAAGGCTGGAAGAGGTGGCAAGGGGGACCCTAATTCAGTCTTAATGAACATTTTCCATAATGTGGAGGGTCATATGCATGCATTAACTACCAAAAAGCAGCTGCTCAAGGTTGCACAATAAAATGCTAGAAGGTGCAAAAAGTGCTTTTTGCCTTTCTGAACGTGCATGGCGTGTCACAATTTATGTGGGACCGCAGGCAAAAGAAAAAGAATGCTGGGGCTATTGCACAGAGAGGATATGGACTTCCATCGTCATTTACCTTCTCAAGTGCAGAGTAGCATCCCAAGCGCATGATTTTAAGTCGATCTCTCTACCTTTCTGCAATACAAGTGTGCTTCTTGTCTTCTTTTTGAACCTACAGTTTAGCAGTCATGTCCAAGTGAATAAAAATGAACTGAGGCTATAACCTGTTTGGGTCACTTCTACAAGTCAAATTATGAGGCATGTATTTGAACACGATAGTGTTAAAGAACTCATCCCGCAGAAATTCAGGCATAGGCGTCGTCGGTTGTAAGTGAAAAATTCTCTTCTTTTTTTTCTAACCCTTACGACAAGATAACGATGCATGTAGAACCTGCATACTCTGAGTATTGGAAGTCTTCCTTCAGAGAGAGCTGGCCACTGTCCACCTTTCTGCAAAACGTACTACGTAGGCACCTTAAGCACGCACTAAGCAACTTAAGATCTTGGGTTCATTGGCAACTAAGGTCGTCGCGGTGTGTCATGTAGTCAGGGTACATCATGCACCACAATAATTGGGTATGTGCCGCGATGATTCGGCAAATCACATTGCTAGTCCCCAGTCCACTAAAAATTAAGAAAAGAATAGTAGGCCAAACAAATGGCCAACGATGCAGTGGAGTTGAAACGTCTCTCCCTACATGCCATAGGGAACTGAAACTGGCCATGTAGGGAAGAAGAAAAAGAAGCGGCATTTCAATGCAGTTTTCCGACGTTTCCCTTTCCTACATGACCAGTTTCAGGCTTGCCACCACTAGAGCCTCGTCAAAAAAAATGTCTCTCAAAACATTGCACGATCCACCCCTCTTCAAATTTCATGCTTGCGGAACTGAAACGCCCTTCCCTACATGCTTCAACTCTCCCCCAGCTTTTTTTTTTTCCGTTACTCTAACAACTGTCCCTCACAATCTACCCCCCACTGGCTGGCTATGCAACAAAGTTCGAGACAACTACACTCGAACCTCATTATAACAAACTTGCATCTTCCATGAAAATAAGTTTGTTATGTCCCAAAATTCATTATGAAGGTTTATTCATAACACTAAATCTGTTGCGAGACTACTTTTCATTTACTTCGTTATAACCAATGTTTTGTTTTATCTGAATTCGTTATATCGAGGTTTGAGTGTACAACACCAACGACAGACACCTGCACGTACCTACGTACTGCGAGTGTCCCAGGTCTTCCATAACGTACAGCTGGCCCCAGTCGACAGCGCTCGTCTTAGCGCAGAATACGACCAGGTAGCTGAACGACACGAGCCACAGGAACGGACTGGCAACCAAGTCCCAAACGGTCGCTGAGCTACGGTCGTCGGCCGCCGGCGTTTGGGACCCTCCTGCATGCTCGGGTGAGCGACTAAAATGCGAAATTCCCGACGACTAGGCTGGCATCGCCCCATGTTGTGAGGCTCACCTTTTGCTAGCTGCATCCTTCTCAGCTGTGGCGGTCTTCTTGCCAGCCACATCTTGCGCTTCTAGACCGACGTCAGTCGGGGAGTTGACCAGTGTAAGAAAGGCGACAGCCCCCATGGCGATTGACAAGGTTCCTGGTGAAACAAAAACAGCACAAGACAAAAACTGAGCCTGTCCGGACTATGCACGAGAACGAAAGGTTCCTCACAAGATAAGCAATCGCTCTTAATCTTGCTTTTCACATGTTACAGAATGTACAAGTTTTACATTACTGCATTGTATGAATTACTGTATTCAACTGTCGAGTTAAAGTGACTGCATACCAGAAACTGGCTGAGAATACCACCCCAGCACTACTCAAGAAAAAACGGAAATTGGGGAATATCTCCGCCACACAAAAATAAGCATCATCTGACAATTGCACTCACCTGATCAAAAAGTTTTGGGGATTGAGGCTAGCCAGTCACCACTGCGCGAACATTTTGCCTATTTCTGCCATCCACATGTCCTAACATGACTCTCCACCCCTCCGTGGTCAGTCAGAGCTCAGAGATCAGGAGTGACATTGACCTAACTGTGGTGCCACGCTCGGAGTCTCACAAGACGTTTCGCACGTGCGCGGCTGGAGTGGGAGAACCTTTCTGAACAGCAAAGGGTAAGCACGCGTTTTCCTTCCCATCCGTCAGCTCCATTGTTTTTGGTGCTCTCCTGGGCGAATTTGTCAACAGTGTCTTGCGCCCGTGGCGAACGCTTACCTTTTGTTGCCTCTTTCGAACGCTAGGCCGAAAAGAGGTACGGTGAGTTCGTGTGTAGTTTTCTTACGACGAAACATGCTTCTCGAAGCCAATGCGAGCGGAGTTTGCCCTCGCTCGAGCGATCGGGCGTTTAGGTCAATGATCATGAGAACACGCATCATAGTCACGAGGGACCGTTTCCCTCAGCGACATGTCACCGTGAGCCTTTTTGCCGGCGGAAACGTGCTCGCGGCACCTATGTATTGTACTTTTGCTCGTGGCATGAATAAGCCTCCTTTGCTTTCCCACCGCCTTTTGCAACAGGCGCTGTACTGTCTTGTGGTGTTGCTGCAGGCAATAATGTGTTGCGAATTGTTTGAATGCAGTATTGTATACTTGCCTCGCTGTGCTTGGCGCCTTGGTTGTGCGAGCACTCGTGTGCAGCAGCATTAGCCACGCAAGGCAACGATGAACGTGGCCCTGTGACTCGCTAATACCGAATCCATGCTAGCGGCAGTTCTCCAGCAGGATACCTGTACACTAGGAAGTGTACGCCAGCTACTCTCCTATCAACATAGATAGGTCATGCCGATATCACACACGCCATTCCTGACTAGGAACAAGTACGTGCTGTAAGAGGCAATAAGACAAGAAAAGCATGCGAGATAGATGACAAATATTGTTAGATGAGAAAGCTATGCCAGTGTCAGATAGTATAATTCACTCCAAAAAAAAAGGTTAAAAAATGTGGAACCATACTCATATATAAAAAGGGGGAAGTGTAACAACATGTAGCAACAATGAAATTTCTGGTGCAAAATGAAATGTTTTGTCATACTTTACTTACCAGCTATTGTCAGGCTAAAGCGCCAGCCATAGTTCAAGATAAGGAATGCAGAGAGAAACGGAGCCACTCCGCCCGATATGTTTGCAGATGCCGAGAGGACACTCCACCAGGTCCCAAACTGAGATGGTGCGAACCACTGCGAAAGAGATGGCAATTTTGGCTTGATAAATGTGCACACTCGCAATTTATTGTTTCCTTACCAAAGCGGCTTCAACACTGTTTGGGTGATTTTAGCATCAAAAACACTTATCCTCACTGCCAGCCAGCTGATTAATTGGTAAATCAAATCAACAAAAAATATTTTTTTAGCCCTAAATCACCCACAGTAACTCGAGAATAAGAGGATAAATAGGGTCCCTGGGTAAGATAAGCTGGAATTAGAAAAAAAATATTAACGGGGGAGGCCATCAATGTCAACCGTTAAAGAGAAGCTGTGTTTTTGTGCCTACACATTTTCCTGGGCACTGAAGCTACGCTGGCACCTTTATTGCTGCAACGAGGACCCACCTTCCTAAGGATCTTCGCGCACGATGGCCAGCCACAACCCTGGGCCAGTCCGTTGAGGAACCAGAATCCACAAAACAGCAGCACAGAGTTAGGCGAAGTGCCAAACAGCAAGGTGGCTACACCGCTGATGAGGAGGCCACAGGTGAACAGCAGGCGGGCACTGAGGCGGTCAGAGAGCACACCACCCATGAACTTGCTGCCAGCATAGGCCAAATTCTGGCTGCTGATGATCATGCCTGCAATGCAGCAAAAAGGACGGCCAGGGCTGCAGATGATGTGTAGACTAGCAGGCAAAACGATTCAATGCTGCCTTGAAGTGACTGGGTCGTAGCGCTACAGAGGACGAAAGAAGTTGGAGTTTGAGGACATCCTTTTTCATAACTTTGTTACGAAAGAGAAGATACGCTGTATCGACGAGGCTGTAGATGAAATATATTTCAAACCAGCAGCAGCGGTGTGACCGGTTTTCCAGACACCAAGCAGAGACCAATCTTCGTTCTCTTCGTCAGGCAAACACGCGCATCGTCCCACAAAATGTGAACATGCATGTTGCAATACCAATAGTAATAATATTAATAATAATAATAATAATAATAATCGCAGAAGAGTTGATAAGTAAGCTAGTTGGTATAGATTCATTATGACAACTTGGCAGTACAAATTAATGGGACATAGTAAGATGGCAAGACAAAGTAAGGGACTTGTGTACAGTCTTATTGTGCTCCGTTAGTATGCTCTGCCTGGTTGTCATAATAATAATAATAATTGTTGGGATTTAAGATTTCAAAGCCATGAGGGAATGTCGTAGTAGACTCGCCGTCTCAGCTACAGGCAGCGCTGACTGACGCTCCTACGTTTGATGAACACATATATCCCATAAAGTGGACGGGAGGATAGCCCCCGTAGTAGCTCGGATGGTAAAGCATCGGATGCGTTATTTGAAGGTCACAGGTTCTGTCGCCGCCCAGGGCAAGTTACCTTTTTGTCCACTATTCTTTCTTCCCATTTATGTTACAATTACTTCTTATAACATCCCCTATACTTTCCTTGGCATGAATGTCTGTTTATCGTTAATACTGTGTCTAACAGAGAGAACTGGCCGTTAAATGTAGACTTTTTTCCTTACATCTTGCTTGGTATTACTTATGAGTGCCTAGGCTGTGAGCTAACTGGCTAAGCAGACCAGTTTCTTGTAAATATAATCACTATAAGCAATAATTACAGTATAGAAAAAAATACAAACTCATTTTTCAGATGTTCCAACACTCCATAATTGTTTTTGGTCTTAGGAAACCTTGCAAACGAATGCCCTGGATCCACCTTGACCATCTGGAATTCTTTTCTAGTTAAATTACATGAATACATTTTTCTTATGTTTTGCTGTAATCATGAATGCCACTTTATGAACCAAGGTCCCGACATGTTCAGCTCGGTAAAACAATATGATAGTCATTGTAAATGATGAATTGATGAGCTAAAAGATCGAACTGAATTGAACTTAAAGTGATACTAAAAAGAAAGTCAAGTTACGATAACCTGGAAAACGCTGGCACAAATCATGAAGGGTAAGGGGGACCCTAATCCTCTTGTGTTCAGGCAGAGGGGCATCTCTTGCAAGCTCCCCTCCCCCTTTTCCTCCTCCAATAATAATTTGTCAAATATCATATTTAAATTACTCAGCAGCTAACTATAGCGCTTTCAACTTTTTTCTAACGTTTTTTTTTTCTGTAGTTTGTGTCTGTTTCCAGTTCGCCTCAGCTGTCGAAAGCACCAGTGAAATCGGAACTGCCATTCGATCAGTTTTCAAGAACACACAATGTCACAATTCAATTAGGTCAGGTGTCAACCGATGTTAGCTTTGCTTTTATTTAATTTTAAAGCATGATAGCAACATTTTTAAATTACAAATAAAAACCAATATTTATAAAACAAAATGGTTGCCATGGCAGGAAAGATGTGCGGGTCCCCCTTCATGATTTTTTCTGGATTTATGCGACAGCTGAAAGTTACACTTCGGCAAAACTAAAGAAATTTCAGTCTCTACCCAATTATCATGTCTTACTTTATGTATGAACGAAAGATCAATGGAGATGGCACCTTAGGGGGAGATGCGATACAAAAAAAAAAAGTTGTGTTAATCTGTAGCTTAGGGCAATGAAATTTTTGCTGTTAAATGGGAACATATACTAATTTTAAATATGTAATTATTTTCATAGTTAGTTGTACAGTTTTAAGTTTTATGCCATGACAATGTTTAATGTATAGTTGGTTTCGGACAAACTTTTTATGCCATTAAACATTTATTGTTCTCAGCCATTAATGACTCATACTGCTCTACATTAACCGTAAAATGTAAATAACTATCACAAAAGTGCGTACACAACATTTTAGTGGGCAAGAAAAATTGTAATGTGAGAATGCTCAAAATCATTCATACATATTAATTGTTCGCAATAATTATACAGGTGATACCAAGTTCTAAAGTAGATACCTGCACCCTTCACATGTTAATGAATATGTAAGCGAAATTTCATCCCGATTGGGCAATTAGAAATACCAAAAACATGATGTCTAAACTCAAGAAGTTGCCGAAAAATGGATCTTCTGAAAAATGCATTTTAAACGTATAAGTGATAGCTATGTGGAAAAGATGTGTTTTTTTACGATGATTTCATCATGAGAGCTTGGCAGTTATGGTTATTTTGAGCATATGGCTTTAGTGAAGTCTTCATGTGAAATGCAGCGGTTAGTAGCCAGGTGACAATTTTCAGGGGACTTCAGACAATGAGCTCCTTTAGTCTTGAATAGCCACGCAGTGCTCTTTATAAGCGATTTTAACCTACTTCGAGTCTATTTGCAATCTTTTGTATTTTTTGTCATGAAAATAAAGAAACTATATTTGTCAAGGCAAATTAAACCAAAAAATACGTAATTTTGGAAAAAAAATTGTTTTCTGACTCGCATCTCCCGTTAAAGTTGTTACACCATACTTAAAAGATGCAACAAATTTTTCTAACATTTTGGTCCTTCCTAGGTATTCTTCAAAAAAGAATTATGGTGTGTTCAATAACACAATGATATGACATGGCAAGCTACCTGAATACTTTGTCGCAAAAAGATCACATATAACTGAAAATGCTTTAAAATCAGTGTTGTCACACAGGCAAGCCAGGGCAATGGTCTATTCATGAAATTCAAGAAATCGCAATTCAGAAATTTTTTCTACAAGTTAATAGTGTCTATACTATTAAAAGCACAGTGAAAAGATTTCGAGGCATTGCAAAAAGACACATTTTTCATTTCCTTTATGTGCAGTGTCAATGTCAATGTTCTCCACACACCAGAGTGAGGCAACATGAATATTTTGCTTCAGTTTTATTAGTTCTGAATGCTCAACATCTGTAAGACAGCTCCACTGTAATGGGCATTTTTATGAGTCAGCAGACTCTGCATCCTGCATGCAATCAAAACAGCAGAAAACGCTGTCAGAGTTGATGTACGATGTTTCACTCATCGTTTACATGCACTGCATGCGACTGACAGTAGGTGTCAGAGCTGCTGCTGTAGTATGCTCCGAGTTGCTGTCTTTCCGTAACATCAGACTGTGTTTACACATCATTGCCACACCACCTCCTAGATATCAGAACCAGAAATGTTCTTTTAGGCCAGTAGCATAAAAAATATGTTCAATCCAGGCACCACGACACTCATTTCAAAGTTCTCGACAACAGTGTTTTCATTTAGAGCAACAATCTAAAGGCACTTAAAATTTGTGTCAGTACTTCTTTAAATGAAAGCCAATAAAGTTATGAAGAATTTCCCAGCAGTTCAGACTGATATACTGCACTTTTTAGGAGCCCATTAAAATTGAGTTATAATGCAAGCGCTGACCTGAAACTTGTACACGTACACCACAATATTTCCCGAAGAAAAAAAGAATGCCCTTTCGCAATAGCTTTTCTATAGTTCATTGTTACAAATGGGATAGACATTTATTAAGGAATAAGTTGGCACATTAAAATTTTGAAGGAAACAGTGTGCAAATAAAGATGCAAAAAAGAATAGCACCAGCCTCATGTTATTTCCCGATAGCTGTCTTGCAGTTTCCCGTGACTTTCTTTAAGATGCCAGTTGCTGTGATAAAAAGATGCCACAACTTGCTCTGAGTGTTCAGTATGTGCTCTAAAACACAAATCTTTTCAAGTTTTATTCAATATCAGCAATGACAGTACAATGCCTCTATGTTTAACATCATATAATGTTAATGACAACTGGTGGACCAAAATGAACAAGTCATTGACACCGATATGCGTTGGCATATGAATTCCATTTCAGCCGGTGGCTGTGTTATTAATTATGTTAAGAAAGATAAAAAATAATAAAAACTGGCGGGCAAAAACGAACAGGTCACTGACACCAACATGTGTCGGTGTATGAATTTAATTTCATGCTGGGAAACAAAAAGGATATCTGGTAATTACATTGACTGTAATTTTAAAATACACAAAGTGCAATACCTGAAACGGTGGGCAAGGTATCACAAGAAAATAAAAACACTTTTTCCTTTTTGACGATACCGACAGACAATGAAGCCAACAAACGTACAGGGGACATTGCTTTCATGTCTTAACTATAGCGGTGTAATAGTGAAATAGATGAAAGGGAATCAGAATGGATGAAGAATCAACTAGATGATTGTAGAGAGAAAAGCTACAGCAGTTGGGCAGCACGTACATTTCTCTCTAACGCGTTATCCGCGTCTTTTGTTTTTCCTTCGTGATCAGACATTCTCTTCTATGCAGATACGATGATCACTCTGCTTCATATTATTATCGGACACCTGAAGGCCGTTGGAATTTTACAATCACTGCCGAGGTAAGCCAAGTTGTAGGCGCTGCTTAATCAGCAGGCTCTTGACTGTGAGACGGAGCAATGTCACTAGGATGAGCGTAAAAGACAACGCTAGCCGAGAAACAGCAATAAAGGTGTAAAGAAGTTAAGAAACGGAGCACACGCCACTCCGACGACAACGCCTGAGAGCCTTTTCTTATCTCCATAGTTGGTGCGGCGATAGCACGTAACTCATCACGGACAGACCACTCAACATGAGGTCGGAGAAAGGCAGGGGGGAGATGAGAAAGTGGACGGCACTTATCGAACCTTGCTTCTTCCGAGGAGGCGCCGTGGTGGTCTACTACAACCGGGTCAAAACGACGTTTTATCTGTCGGCAACGATATGGAATGAGGCCAGGAAACAATTCAGATGCACGATTGCTGTTTGTCCCTTTCGCCGTGATATCCATTCTGACATCCAATCTCGCGTTTGGCTTGGCATACTCCCACATGCACAATGTCGTTCTGGCATTATGAAAAAGCTCACAGGCTCTTTGAAAGGCCGTGCTGCTTTTCTTTGAGATTGTGGGCGCATTGAGTATTCTTGCAGTGGCATCATTTGGTGTTGCATCGCAGTAAAATTTATTTCTTGGCAAAAAAATTTTTACGAGTACCCAGTTAAGCAGACTTGCATCTATCATTGATAATAGATTTCCTGTTTGTGCTATGCATGTGCAAGTTTCGTTATCCATTGGAGAATACTTTAATGGTTTGCTTTTTCCTCAGGAAACCTCTGACACCACTTGGCAAAACTTTCTTGCGGATGAAGCAACGACATTGATTCTAGACGTGAGCAAGAGCTCACAAACTTTTTTATCACAGCTATAATCGCAAAGAGCTAAGCGAGGAGTAATTGTACGTGAGTGAGCCGATTGTAGTAGTAGTACAATATTGCCACGGCGGCTATTACCTTGATAGTATAAGAGCAGACCGAATGCGCCACCGATATTTTTTTATGACACCTCAGCTCATGTTACAATACGCCACGAAGATCACAATATCGTCGTCAATAATCCAGTCGCAGCAGTTCTCGAGCGCTTTTAAATCGGCGCGCACATCATGTTTATATTGTGATGAAGCTTCATACCAGTGACGCCGCATACGTGCAGCAATTATATCCAACCCGACAAATCTTGACACGGAATACGGAAGCGTCGTATCAGCGGATAAAGTGTAAAAGTTCAAGGCCCTCGTTAAAATGACATCCGGCAGTCAAAAAGAAGAAAAAAAAAGTACCGACCCGCACCAGTTTGAAGAGTATACTACGCACAATGACAAATGGGCCTTGGAACAACATAGAGCTAAATTAGTTAGTACGTATTCGTGTTGAAAGACAAGGCAAACACGGACACGAAAGAGAAGTGAAGACACCGAAAACCAGTCAAGACAGAGTTCAAAACACCACAAACGCCGGCGTTTGTGGTTCTCCTTGTGCCCGTGTTCGAATGTCCCGTCTTTTAACACGAGCAAGTTGACCAATCGGAAAGCCAGCTCGCGCGTCACGTTAACTTACCTGCCTGCTCCTTGGTCAAACCCTCTTCCATCAACTCGGGAAGCGCGAAAGAAACGCATTTTCGGTTGTACGCGTAGAAGGCGTAGCCGAAAAACATGGTCGTGAAGATGGACAACTGGTAGCTCTTGAGATCCATGGCGCGGTGACGTTTGCGACGGTGTTGTCGCGCCCTTGACCGCCCTTCGTAGTGCTGTTTCCTCGGCTCTCGCCGTTTCGTAAGCTCAGCATCAGCGCCAGAGAACCCACCGCCGCCGGCCAACGCACGATGGTCGCACGTGCGATCGCCGGCAGCGGCTGCTTGTTCCGGCCGCCGATCGCCTTCGAGGCTCCACAGGTTAGCCGACGCCTGTCGGCACCTGCCGGCGACGGCGCGACCTTTGCCGGCGCCCTGGCGGAATGCGAAACCGAAAGCGACAAATGCATGCCCTCCGAGACTGGCAGCGCAGAATCTCGCCCTCGAAAACCGCGCCCGCGTTTTCGCCGGCTGCCACAGAAAGAGCGCCAAATGAGCTAAGAAGTGTGGCAGCTTGGGCTAGTCGGTATGACATGACGATAGTTATAGCGCGAGAACAGAACGACAACACAGAGACAAGAAGTCTTGTCTCTGTGTTGTCGTTCTGTTCTCGCGCTATAGCTATCACCAAATGAGCGTGTTATTTTTATGTGCGTAGTGTGCACTAAACAGACGGCCAGCGCAAACAAGACAAGAGGAAGATTAAATGCACGACACAGACACTGTCACATCTTTTGTCTCTTTTGTGTTGCAGGTAATTTGCTATGTTACCACAGCAACACAGCACAAAGCGGGTACAGCTAAGCTTTCGAACTTAGTGGGTATTTACACCAAAACACTTTGATCCTGCAATGTGCCATCAAGAGAAAAAATATCTACGCTTGCAAAAAAAAAAAGCAATTTTGTTAAAATGACATTCGCTGCCATTCCCTGAATTTCTATACTTGATTAAGAGCTTTCTTTCTCCTTATACTGTGCCTGCTATCAATTAATTGTCCAACTGACCTAGCTGCTTCAAATTTTGCCTGAATTGCAAACCTATATAGTTTAATTGTTCTAATCCAGCACCACTGTAACATATGCTAACCCTGCAACATTCATTAACCTTACAAATAAATTGCAGGTGCACTCATAACACACGTAGATAGTTTTATAACACTCCATCACAATGAACCCGAACGAAACACTACATTTCCCATAAATGCAATAGTGTGAGTCCCGAATAACAGTTATTACATGTATTCAAAAGCATACATGTATGTACCTCACGAGTGTGAACCTTTTCTGAGGGTAAATTTAAGTGTGTCAATAAACAAATTACTGAACAACATAAGATAGGCCTCAATTATTTGCAACCTTCACTCAATTAGTACTCTTCCACGTCGGCACAAACCAAAATTCTAAACTTGATATGTATGAGAAGCTCGCCATCACTGGCCTTCATTAGAAACAATGTACGAGTTTAAAATGGTGCATGATACAATTTACATATAGATATGTAGTTAGGCAATGAGGCAGCAATGGCTGCATTCTGTGGCAATCACTTTTAGGTGGCTAAAATTTCCTTGAGCAGTGATTGCCTGGTAGAAAAGGCAAGCATGTCTGAGGTGCAGCTCAGTCATTAGACAGACAACATTCTATGTCAAACAAGGTGACACTGTTGGAGAAGGTGATAACAAAGTGACACTGTTGGCGAAGGTGAAAATAATAACAAAAGCTCAGGGCAAAGGACAAACATCTGAGCCTCAATAATTCTTTTTAGGGGCGAAGCTCCTTAGGGCGTGGGCTGTGCGTCCCCTGTAGCCTGTATGTAGCCACCTCTAGTTTAGTTCTTGCAGTGTTCACTAGATGGCGGTACCGTCCCCTGTATGTAGCCACCTCTCGTTTAGTTCTTGTAGTGTTTACTAGATGGTGGTACTTGTAGCTGATGATGAAAAGATGCAAGATGTTATAAACTAGAAAGCGGTACTTGTAGTTGATGAAAGACGCGAGATCTTATAAAATAGGAATGATGTCACATATGGCGCGTGTCATTGGTTGAAGGCAATCGTTCGATTTAGTGCGGCGACGTACGCTAGGGGGAGCGATGTAATAAAATCGAGTGGGCAAAATGTACAGAGGATTCATGGTTTACCAGGTTTACCTCCGGAGCTTCGCCCACTCATCATCATTCACTTCGTGGATATGGCGGAATTTTTTTTCCTGCAGCACTCTTGCACGAACTCTGTTTGCTTGCTACAACAATCCACATGCCTTGCAAACAACTTTTTGGGCGAGTTTTAAAGCTTCTTTCGGTACTATTCCGAGTGCCGGCATGTGATGATTGATTTGTGGGGTTTAACGCCCCTAAACCACCATATGATCATGAGAGACGCCGTAGTGGAGGGCTCCGGAAATTTTGACCACCTGGGGTTCTTTAACGTGCACTCAAATCTGAGCACACGGGCCTACAACATTTCCGCCTCCATCGGAAATGCAGCTGCCGCAGCCCGGATTTGAACCCGCGACCTGCGCCGGCATGTGCCACAAAGCCCCCAAGTGCTACAAGTACAAAGCAAGGATTGCAATTTCTGGGCTAATTCATGATCTGCTCATCAATACGATGCTGGGCTACTATGGTACCCATCATCGAATTCCACTCTACTTTAAAATTTTGCAAAATTATCACTTTTTATGTAACAACTCTATAATACATTTTGAGTCAATTATCATAGAGGTTGTAGCAACCATGCGAGCCAATTGTACTTGAGAAAATGGCATAATTGACAACATAACTAGGCAGAACCTTGCATGTTGTGACATGTATCATTCTAGACATATTGAATACAGATAGAAGTCACAGGTGAAGACACTAGCTGTATAAAGAGCTTATAAAATAAAAACGAAAACTCCACTTTTTTTTATAGAAGTGACGAAGATAAGAAGGCAGAAATCGTGCTGGAGAATTTTTATTATACGAAAGTTCGGAATTTTTTTTTATAGACGAATCATTCATCCGGCGGTCCTAGCTGGGGAGACCGGTCTCACTTGGAACTCTAATTTTGCCTCCGACAGCCACAGTCGTTTTGTACGTAGCCCGGCAAGGTTTCTGGACTGCTCTTCGGACGCTTCAGCCATGATTGTTTCGTGTTACGTCACGCATCTGTTTCCCTCGCCTTCCCACTCGATGCTGGGCTCTGTTTTGTCCAAGTGGAGACTCAGCTTTACCTTGAATTCGTACGCCTGCATACACAAAATATTGCATACATGTAACACCAGAGTTAATTTTCCTTCAAAGCACACTAAATTGAGTAAATTAGTTTAGACAGGCAAGTTATTACCTGAAAAACCCTAGCTTAGTTACCTTAATCACCATATGTTTATTTAGAATTAGAACATCATTGTCAAAAGTTTTACTTTTAAATATCCCCGAGGAAGTTTTCAATGATGATGGAAAGGGTTTCAAAGTGCTTTGAATTGCTTTCACCACATTTGCTCAACGATACAGCCTAACCCCTTTATAAGAGACACTGATAAAAGATGCCACTGTGCCCACAGTAAAATACAGATTGATAAAAAAGTGCATATGTGGTAACCTGTTTATAAGAGACATCTCGAATAAAAGACCAGAATCGCTGCCCAGAGCACGCCTCTTATAAAGGAGTGTAACTGTTTTTCTTGAAACTTGGCGTGCCAAGTCTCTGGCTCTCTCAGATGTCAATGTACTTTATTTAGGCGATTAAGAACTATTTAGACCCAAGTAGATGTCGTCAAAATTCATGGTCGCATTGATTGGTGTGGTAATTTCAAGATGGCATCGCCACCCACATTATCTTTTAGTGCATTTTCTAGCTTACAAAATAGTTTTTTCCAGTAAGGGAGGCAATTTCAGTGTTGCAAAAGATCAATTTGATGATACAATAACAGTTTTTTTAGGGATAGTAATATAGGTTGACTTCACACAGACTGATGACATTCATTGTCGAAAAAAGGCAAACATGCAGGGATCAGAAACAGACAACACGAAGGCCATTTATTATCTGTGTAAGACAAACGAAGTAAGGTATAAGTCGAAAGAACTACTAACCAGGCAGTCGCCATCTCATCTCTAATCATGATTTTAAATGCACACCAAAAATGTAAAGAATGAACAGTTTTACACATGTAAGAATAATGAAACATGTCCGATAGTTGAGGCTGCACATCACTATTAGTATAAGTGTGCACAAAAGCCAAGCCTCATTATTTTTGCATGAAGCTGAAAAGTAGTGTTGAGACAGTTACTTTTTATGTAGACCCACACGTCTCGATTCATTTCTGAGAATGAGAAGATGAAGCTTTGTGTACGCGAACATTTCTTCACACCGGATCTCATGTGACAGATTACATTTGTGTAGACTCTTTCCTTTTTCTTGTGTTTCCTCTTGTATGTCTACATTTTCTACAATAGATTCCTACAAACCAGCACAACTTTCTGTTGTTTAGTAGGCATGTAAAAGCAAACAAATGTGGGCGATGATGGCGCCAACATAAGTGTTCACAGGGTTCCCCTTCAGGGGAGGCGAAGGTTTGTCGCAGCGCCCCCCTCCCTATCATGTCAATGTATGGGGTTGGCTTTGCACACTCCCTCTCGCCCCCTTTCGCCCCTCGTGCGCACGCATATGGACATCAATGATGTCTAACTCAAGTGCCTCAAATGCATATGCTCTTTTAGATCAAGTTAGGTGAAAGCTTATTAGAAATTTCCGAAGACCTTGTTGGTGTATATTGCAACAGACAAAATGGAACAGACAAGGAACCGTATACAACTAATGAAACCGAGAGACAACTAAGCCGAGAAAAACATAGGGGAGGTTATTTGTGGTATCTTAACTGTACGGCAATAATCCTCACTGACATTGAAAGAAATGAAATTGGATTCCGTATCACCCTTTCATTGGTGGGACGATTTTTCGTCTACTAGAATTTCCTTCAATTCAAGTGAGCATCATTACAATGCCTTTAAGGTACCACAAATAATGTCCCCTCTCCTCTATTTGGCTTAACTGTCTGCCAGTTTCATTCGTGCTTAAATAAGATGATTTTTTTGTTGTTGACAGGTTGGCTAGTGCTACAGTGACTAATGCCAAGAACTCCTAATTTTTTTTTTGCATCTACAAAAGTTATATACTAATAGTATAAATCAAGAGGTGTCAACCTTGTTCCCAAGTGGAGTTATGGCATTCTTCGGCTGCAACTTTTCATCAACGTAAAGGTGCGTGGGTGCGGTTTCCATGTGAACGACCACGATGGAGCCAACGATCAGTGGCACAGGCACGGTGTTCTTGTGCAGCCGAGCAACAGCCAAGTGACACTAAAAAAAAAGAAGACGCAAAAGTGAGGCATAAACATCTACCACCTTTTTGTTATAAGTATTTTTAAGGTGAAAGCATTAGATGACTCATCAAATACAAAAATTGACTGTCAGCAGCATCAGCGTGAACACAAGCGATGCGAAAAATCGCCATGTCATGATGTCGCCATATTGATGTCCTCATGGTGTGACAGAGAGGCAAAATTTGTGACACCAATATGACGTCACTTTCTTCTACCTTTATCTCAAGCTACACTTCAAGTAAAGGAAACTACACATAACATTCCCTAAGCTTTCCTTGGATTCATTATCTGCTGCCTTCATTCAATTCTCATTGGTTTTTGAGATGCTCACTTTCTTTTTTGATGCATGTTCAGATTAGTTTGTTTCTGTATAAAATACAGCCATTTTAGTGTTTAAATATTAATTCGATGCAATATGACAAGCTGCTACTGTTTTTGAAGTTTCTGGTATATAAGAGTCCAGCTGCTCAATTCAAAGCTTTTTATGTAACTGTGTTTTTCCATTCAACAAAGAGAAAGTTAAGATCAATGCATTAAAATACTAGATTCAACAGAGGGGTTTGACTGCGTATTCCGCATTTGTGCATTCAGACCCTCAGAAAAAGAAAACACGAGAAAATCATATGCAAATGGATGTGGGATTGGAAAGTTTAGAAGGAGTTTGAGACACTACGAAAAGATGGTTTGTTTCACTTACAGCCACAATGCGGAATCGGATGTAGTCATAGGCACCAGTTTCGATGTTTCCTGTTGAACAGATATGTAAAGCGAGGTATACGACCAAACAAACCCTCAAGATATGTCGATCATCTACGCAAACCCTTACGCCATCAGTTACCGAGCAAACACTTATATGATAAGTCAGTAATCGACTTTCCAAAGCATTGAGACCTTTCGAATGGTACCCACATACCCATTGTGCCACATACTCATCAGTACCAGCACGGTCGCCATAAAGTCCTTTACATTGTTCTCACAAAAGCATTTCAAAGGTGGCAGCAAATGCACTATGTACATACGTGTATAAGTCAAATGTGAATATACTCTTTCTTACAATGAAAACGTTTGTTTTGTAATTCTTCTATTGACGAGCAATAATGAGTCGCAGTTAGCTATGCCAATGCCTAAATACTGGGTAGCACGCCCACACTGAAATATCTTTCACGCTATAAGATAAGCCAACAGTTTCACTAAATGCTTCATTGTTCATTAAAAAGAGGTCATTATAGTATTTCCTGTGCTATTATTATTTTCTTGGAGGGAAGTCCTCACATTTTGATTAGGAGTGCGCAAATATTGGAAGTGTCTCCAAATATAAAATATGTCATCATCCCCTGCGCCACCATCAGCCAATCGTATGTCCGCGGTAGAACAAAGGCCTTACCCAATAATCTCCAAGCCATCCTGTCCAGCGGGAGCTGACCTCATTTCATTCCTTCAAATTTCATTATTTTGTTACTGTACGATTATGCTTTGAAATAAGTGAATATTTAGTTCGTACACCGAGTATGCTTTGAATGAAGTAAATATTTAGTTCGTAATCAAAGTTTTTAATATTTATGCTCCCCTAAATCTTACGCTTTCTTTTGAAGGTATGCAGAAGAAATATTGAAAGATGTTAGTCTTAGTTATGAGAAATTATCTGAAAGTGAACCAGTTCCTTGGCAGTGAAAAATTCTCGAAATTCTGATTTATACATCTGGCAACATTGAACGGCTCTCAGAATGTTTATATATCCCATTGCACATGTGTGCAATACGCTATTTTAAAGCAATACATTCCCAAAAATACTACATTCAAAATCTTCTACGCTTGTTCCAGAACTTTTACTAATGTCTTGACATAGAAAGACCAGAAATTTGGTTGGCAACAGTAATGCATTGGTAAATACTGTATAGTAGGTATTATAATCGTCAAGCTACTTATGTAGCTTTTAACCCAACGCAACCATCCAGTATGTATAAACTGGTAAATAAAATTGAATTGAATTGAATTGAATAATGACCTGTGTGGAAGTCTTAGGTGACAGTGCAGTTATAGTGATATTACTGCCAAAAATAATATATAAAAACTAAACCTTCCAGGTTTCTGAAGAAAACTGAAAGTACACAGAAAACATAGACGTCCACATACACACACACAGGCACTGTGTGTGCCCCATTGTATGTGTACGCGAGTGCCTTTCTTCGTTTTTTCCATATTCTCCTAGTGTTCCTCAAAATGGATTGCCAACAATGCCTAATGAGCCGCATTTGTTAACTCCTCGCTTTCCAGGTTTCTGCATACACAGCCTCCTCATCATGTAAACATTGACGCGATTGTGGACCCATTCACTCACGTTTCCCGATGCCATCATCCCAATAGAGAGTACCGGAGGCCTTGCCATTGTTTGGGTACACCATGAGAGTTACAGTTTTGTTCAGCCTGTGCATCAAACGAGAATGTAGATTTTCGTTAAAAAACAAAAAAAATTCCATTTTACTACATAGTACATTGGTATTAGCATCTCGTGGTTATGGCAACTAAAAAGCTGTTAGCAGTCAACAAAAAAAGAATGGTACTGCATGGCAATCGAGGCCCAAACTCACGCCCTTGGCAAAGTCACTACATTTATGCTGTAACTGTACTGGCTATGCTTATGCGGTTCATATTCTAATAGAACATAAATGCTGAAAACATCAGAAGATGTTTGTGTCAAAAGACACATTCGACAAACGGTCTTCTTAGCTGGAAGAATGTTGAAGCCTCAATGTGAACGCACCTCTATGGTCTGCTAAGTTGACTCTGCAACAGAGCCAGGACCACATTCCAGTTTTCGGTGCTGGCATAAGCGTTTTGGGCATATGCATCATCATCCCTGTTGTGCCATGACTAAGCGGTTGCATGCAAGTAATGGTCTGACATTAGGCAGTGATAACTAACAATGCATATTTGTTGGTCTCATCTCTAGCAGGTTCGATGGCTGGAACACCTGCGGCCAACACTCGTGGCTAACACCTGTGACTAACACCCGTGGCCAACATCCATGGTCACCCGACATGTTACCTTGAGACACCGCGTAACTGTTAGGACTTGGAATGCTGTATCTGCGAGAAAGCAGTATTTGTCCTGTGTGCTAGGTCATGAACATCAGTTTGTGTCCAGACGTATCGTATAGCTAAAACACCAATCTCCTGAAAAGCTATAGAGCACGACACTTTTATAGAAAGTGACAGTTTCGCACTTAGTTAAATCCATTTCATTGAAATTTTGACATTTATATCCACACCATTGGCAAACATGCGCAACTCCTTTACCAGAAGTGTGACTAGTTTATACCTGTCCCATGTGCTCGTCCCTGGGGTCTGCGTTGGGAGAATGGAACCTGCCCGGACATACAGCGGTGTTGGCGTCTTCAGTTTGAGCCAGTTGTGCACCATGTACTCGCCTGAGCTCAGGAATGGAGAGTTCTGGTAATGAGGTGTTAATTCTTGTGAACAGAATTTTCATTAAATGGGTACACGTAATGCTCTTCTACAGGCCCTCACTAGCGTTTGTGTTATGTTAGTGCAAGTAATAATTCAGTCCATCTTTTACATCTCCACCAGCTCTGCTTTTCACATGGTGTGTCTTGCAAAAGAGCAACATCAATTCGCTTAGGTATATGTGTGCAATGACTTACATCATAGTACTCGTACCACAGTCCTGTTGGCAGGTAGAAGGACATGTACGTATTCTGCAATGAAGCATTGAGAGGACTAAGGAATATAGCAGGCAGTGTTGACTTTGATTGCTTTCTTGAAGAAAGTAACTGGGCCTCACTGCTTATGTTATATTCAAAACAAACAAAACCATATTGAATGAGTTCTGCAATCCAGTTCGCTGCTGTGCTGCACTAAAAAGTGATGTGCAAGTGTACAGGAAACAGCCAGAGATGGTCCATAGAATAGTGCTAAGGTGTTCAATGTACACTTGAACCTCGGTATAATAAAACTGCCCCTTACATGACAATAGGTTTGCTATATCTGAAAATTCTTTATGAAAGTACTATCAACAGCAAGAGTTTGTGGGATGTGAAATGTTCGATAAAGCTGAATTCCCGCTTTGTCTGTTAATGTCATTTTAAGATAAATGTTCTATACTGCACTTGGCATTCTGATCTATAGGGTCACCAGCTTGATTACAAGCATTAAGCTCCGATATAGCAGAAATTCACATTGGTTGTAGATCCAACATCCCAAAAACATTCGCTGTTGATAGTACATTCCTAATACTATCTGCTCAACACTACTGTACATTTACTTCGTTATAGCCAATATTTCGTTATATCAGGGTTCGCTACGACGTGGTTTGGGTATTGACAAACTGTATCAAGCACACTATAGGTTTAAAAAACCTACAGAAAATACCAAGCTACAATTCTTGTTGTGAGGGCAATCTCTGGCTGGCCCGCTCCACTTACACCTGCCTGTCTCCTCTCAATATGATGAGTGTACAAAGAAATCATATCGTATAATCATATAACCTACAACAGGTAAGAAGGCTTCCAAAATGTGCAGCGAGTTTAGCTGCTCAAGCAACAACACAAGATTAGCACACTATCACACTCTGCTCCGCTCAATAGGGTGTAGCAGCATCTACAACTTTTGCTGGGAGAATTGGAAAATTTTCGAAGACCCCCAGTTCATTTGGCTAATAAAGCTACGGTGCCAAACAAAGCCGCTTCATTTAGTTTACTATATATTAGAAGTGAAGGCATGTGTGCTGAGCTAACACTCTCACATAACATTGACAATAAATGAAGAATCTTCCATTTTTTTTTTTTTGAGACACCATAGCAATTTATGATTACTAGCAACAAAAATTCTTACGTTTCGTATGATTGGTGATATCAACAGAGACTTGCCCCACATGAACTGTGCATCGATCTCGTATGTATGAGGTTCATGTGGAAACCTGCGTGCATGTAAAAGAGTATTGATCGGGTAGGGTGCAACGAAAACCAGAAAACAATTAGTATCACAATAAATCTGTATAGAATTGTCTGCAAAACAATGGCTAATTATACAAAAATTCAGTGAAAGCTATGTTGGGTAACTTACATTGACTGTTTCCATATTTAAATAAATCATGAAACCTTTTTTGTTTTCAAAATTTGTTGTAGCAATTTCTTTTGTCATAGTTTATGTGTGCTGCGTCCCTTTTTTTTCCCATTTAGTACCTGCTTCCAATAGAGACTGGTTGAAAGTCTATACTCTGTGCCTTGTTAAAGTTCTCTCATTTCTTCTCACACAGTCTATGAAACAAACGAAAAGGGTATTTTTTCTTAGAGGCTTGTTTTTATATACGCTCAAGCCAATGAATTGAACACGCAATTAGGCCAGGAAAAGCATAGAGGATGTCAATTGATGCATTCAAAAGTAATGCACTAAGTGTGACATAAAGGAATATAAATTGATGTAGATGAAAAATCGCCCTTTCAGTCGATGGGACTTGATCGAACCCACAACATTTGAAATTACGTACCTACCCGATGCTCTACCAATTGAGTTATGATGAAAGAACTCCCCATCCACTTCGTTAGGTATTTCTGCTCATGTAGTCCCCGAGAGTGCTAGCCCGTACCACTTGTAGCCCGGGCGTAACTTAAAGTGGCTGATTAGACGAGTCGGTGATTCATGATTGTTTGAAATGCGAGAGCACAATGTAGCCAATGTGCTTGTTCGTGTCTTCATTAGTCCTTCTCTATGTTAGGCACTTTTATTTCAAACAAGCATGACTCAAAGGTTATGGGCTCAGGTCCCACCGATAGAACAGGTGGTTTTTCATCTAGTATTTCAATTTCTTTCGATTTAGGGCACAATTTGTACACTGCTAATAAGGTCCTCATTGCTTTCCCTGTCCCAATGGTAGGTTGTATTTATTTAGTTCGGTCTATGAAATGACACGCAGAATGTGCTGCTCACTCGAAAAACAGAGGCCTGATGACGGGCGTGCCCTTGTTGTGGGCCTCATAGAAAAGCGTGTACAAGTAGGGCAGCAGGGTGTACCGCACCTGCAGGGCCTTTTTCATGATAGCCTGCGCAGCGTCGCTGAACATTGCGGGGTCTTGGTCCTGGATGCATTCAGCAGTGGGGGAGATAAGCATGCAACACGTGTGAATGATCACAGGTTCTGCTGTATAAACTCTTGTTTGGGCATACATTACAAACTGTAAATGTGAATTGTGGGGCTAAGAGAAGATGTACACCCTAAAAAATTTTTACTAATTGGGTGAACTGAATTAAACTTATTAAATTAATCCAGCTTTTCTCTGCAGATTCTGAACCTCCAAGCATATTTATTTATTGAATTATTGATTTGTTTGTTTATTTATTTATTCCGTAAACTTTCACAGCCCCAGAGCATTACAGAAAGGAGTGGTTATCATACTGTATACACTCAAATAAGGGTCGCTCCCCCCCTCACTTGGTAGTTGAAGGTTTGAGAAAAGAAATCTGGCCAGCAAACGAGCGTTGTTTTGTAGATGAGATTTTTGCAAATGGCAGCATCCTCTTTAGATGAAGACATCTAGTGAGGATGCCTGCAGCTGGACGCCCAATATCTATTCGTTATGTATATATGGCATGACTAAACAGGATTTTTCATATGCTGATAAAAAATTGAAATAAAATTTCACGCTTTCGTTGAAGGCTGTATTCCATCAAAATCACAAAAAAAAAAGTGTGGCCCTTACGCGAGTGTTAATGGTGTATATATGAATTCACAATACTGCATTTTATAAGAATACAAATTAACAAAGCGCCGTGTCATGAATGGCACTTTTGAAGTTGGTACCAGTTGTTGTGATGGAGGCAAGAAGGTGGTTCCATTCTCTGCTGGTTTGGGGGATAAAAGAGTGGTTGTACAGGTTGGTTCGCCATAGTGACACGCGAACCTTTTCAAGGCCAAGTTTTCAATAGCTGGATTAGAAGAAAAGACATGCAAATTTCTTAGCAGTGTATTGAGCATATTCCTTAAAGGGCTTTTAAGCAAATTCTCTTTGTCCAACATGAAACAACAAATGTGGCAAGATTGCCAGAGTGCTGGTATTGCTAGTGAACTTGGAATGCAAAATAAACATAGGCAAACATGAGTGAAGCATACTTGCTGAGTACTATTTCTGATTATTGAGAAGTGCAATTCAGTGAACAACATTAATAGCATCGTCGGCAAGACCACCTACTCCAAGAAAGCTTGCCCCATATTTTTTTTTTTTTTTTTGAGAAAGCGAAGTTGCTAAAGACTCTGCGAAAAGTAGGCTAAATTCATTTTGAAAACTACATGTCTTTTGTTTTAATGCAGCTATTAAAAACTACTCAGAGACTTGAGAACTGTACAATAAAGCTTTATAAGTTTATTAAATTTCATTCAGCTCACGCAAGTATTAAAAATACATTTTAATAAAGACCACATCTCCCCTTAAGGAATTGACTCTTTTGCAAGCAGAATGCAGCCGTTCGTTTTATAATGCTTTTAGACGAGAACATGAACTCAGCCACCTAGCACATATTTTGTTGTCAAGGGGTCGTTAAAATGCTCCTGCTTTGAGGCATCAGCCGTTAGCGTAATCAACAAAACTGTGCACACTCACGACTGCCTTGATGTCGTTGTGGGACCTGCTGAACGGATAGAAGGCACCCAGCTGCATCCACCGGACGCATAGATCCTCGGTGGCATTGCCGATGAAGCCACATATGTCGGCGCCTACCTGGAACGCGATCAGTTTGCGGCCACTGCACTTCCGTTGAGTTTGCTACGCCTCTGCACGCTTTTGTCAAGATTCTTTTTTTTTATTGTCATGGTGACCAGCAACTTTTTGTGTAGGCAGGCATTTACTTACATACGGTATGCCGAACATGTTGAACTCGAGCATGCCTGGGAAATGAAAAAAAAAATGGTTGGGAGGTAGGCAAACATGAAATTTACGAAAAAGTATTTATTTCGAAGCTATGAAAGTGCTACAAAGAGTAGTGCAAAAATAAAATGCGTGTTAATGGATTTATTAAATTTTATATAGTGGTACATGACAAAACCACGATGACATCACTACGAGGGATGTCGGAGACTCTAGGCTAACATTTATCGCTGTTTTTAGCACCCTAATGAGCATGCAATGTACTTGAACAGGAAACATCATAGCAGTCAACATTTCAACAAGTGGACGAGTCAAATTGTTGGCCTCCATCGAGCTTCTGTTTCTTCATGCAGTGTTAGATGAGCATTTTCGTACTACGCTCCACTCAAAATGTGGCTGACATAGAACCTGTGATATATTGCTCAGCATCATGCAAGGGGTTTAACAAGTCAACTTACTGTGAATATAAGCAAAAATATGGTGACTGCATGGAGTTTTTCTTCAGCTAACCATCACTTTCAGTGTGAGCATTGCGTTAGAAAACTTCTGAGAATATTAATGTTGTTTTATAAGGAGATGTTACATTATGGCAGGAAAATGAATTATGTTCTAACAATCATAGTTTTTTCAATAAAGTAAAGAGCGAGGAATGGAGCGATTAAGGTGTGGAAGTACCAATTATAGAGCGGCGGAGATGCGACCAGGTGCTGTAGTTATCCCCGAGCCAATGTCCTCCATATCGGCCGCTCGAAGGGTACGTTGACCGGCTGATGATTAGCTGCCGTTCATCCAGCACTTCATTGAGGGCACTGTAGAAGTGATTCATCATTCGAACAAAATATGACACTGACCGAAGTGACAAAAGTAAACTTTCAACACTGAGCTTGTAAATGCACAGAATCTATGGAGACCCCGAGACAATTTGTTTTTCTTTTTGACACTTCCCCATCACAAGTTCTACTGATAATGCTTTAACCTATCAGGTGTTCTCAAATACTTCCCAGGTGAAAATATTAAACTGGTTCTCAGCCATTTTAAACTAGACCCAGCTAGGTCCAGCTGGGAACAGCTGGAAATCAAAGGGTTACCAGCTGGCTCTAGTTTATCGCCAGTGGGAGCTACTAGTTTGCAAGTAGAACCAGCTGTTGGTCTGGAAATAAAACAGCCCAGAACCAGCTGGTTTGAAAACCAGCTAGAACCAGTTGGTCTGAAAATGAGTCAAACCAAGTGGCCTGCAGCCAAAACATGCATACCAGCTGATCTAACAGGAACTTTTTGTTTGTGTAGAACCAGCTGCACTTCAGGCTAATCACACCCAGGAATAAATATGGAGTTCATGAGGTTCTAATGCAAGTATTAGCTCTTGCAGGTGGTCTCAGAGTTAGCAAGTCAGTCAGGTACTGTAACACGAGCTATGTTTGTGTATTTTGTAAGGCATCGAAAAGGGCCTTAACAGAAGAAATAAAGTTTAAGGCTTGCTTACAATTAGTTCATATCTCTTGATTCACCAAAAGTTCTTGGTCCTGTGGTTCAAAATGAAAACACTGCCTAAAATAAGACTTGCTTATTACAATATGTTTGCTAGCAAATCAATATGCTCAGTTCTGCTGATATCGTATGCAAACCGAACCGTATGCCTGCAAAAGTGCATTGCAACTTTCCTTAAACTGATGCTGTCATATGTAAGTGAAAATATTTGACTCGCGCTTATGTAGTGTATAGCCTAGCATCATTACTTAAATCATTGGTAGTCATTAAGGCTGATTTGAGTTGGGGCCAGAAGCTAATAAGTTCTAGCTGGGAAGATTGGGACCAGCTGGCAAATGTTTCCAGCTGCAAATTGTTTCACAACCCAGTTCACCTGGTTCCAACTGGAACAGGCTAGAACCAGTTAGAATTTTTCATGTGGGTTGATCACAGAAATGATAAAGTTTTGAAATGCCCATAAATAGACACATACAGTTTACGGACACGTTAAAGCTTACCAATTCTGCAATCAATATTCTTATGGAAAACTGTCTATTAATGTTAAATGGACACATTATAGTATACTCTACTTGTGTGTGGCTCGCATCTCACTCCAGCCATACAGGTTGTGCACATTATAGTGCCAGTAGCAGCTCGTATCGCCAAAGCAGCCACTCATGCACAGCGTACGGTCGCTGAGACGGGCTTCCGGGCCATATTGTGTGGCTGCTTCTGCAAAAGATGTGTTCAAGATTGGTTAGGCTGAAATTGAACTATAGTGTTCACGTAAATGCAGCGAGTCAGCTGAGCTGACCAAGTGTGATGTGTGGCTGGGTCGGCCACCCTTGCATACAGGGTCTGTTACAAAAGTAATTTGCATTTACTGGGAAATTTATGTTTATAGATGGGACTTGTGCAAATGTGTAAAATTCTTCAAATTACTTTCCCCTTGCACGAATAGACTTGTGGAGACGCGTCTGCCGTGCTTGAAAGACACCATGAACTCATCAATAGGAATGACGTCTCTCAGGAAAGTTGCAACATGCTTTAATGATTTTCGTGCTCTCAAAACTGCTTTCCTTTTAGCTCTCTCTCCCATCGGGGACACAAAAAATTGTCACACGGAGTCAAGTCAGGACTGTAAGGGGAATTCTGGACCACTGGAATGCTGTTTCAAGCCAGGAATTTGCAAACAATGAAAAAAGTACAGCTGGGGATTATCATAGTGAAGTGCTTGACCATGTCTCTGGTGTCAGCCCTCACACGCATCACCTGGTGTTTCAATTTCTTGAGCTTTCAGTAAAATCCAGCATTGACAGTTTCTTCCTGTGATACAAACTTGCTGGATGCTCAATTGATGGTCGAAACACAAAACTTTGTACAAATGATCAACATTTTCTATGTTTTGGCAATTGTTTTTCGCACAGAACGGTTTTGGTCGGCAACCACCTCTCGGTGCTCCTTAAATGCCCTGCGCCACCTCCCAAACTGTGACCTTGAAATGCGTCAATCCTTGTAAACCTTTTGATGCATCTGAAATGTGTTCGTTTCATTCTTTTCAAGCTTCTCGCAGAACTTGATAGCCTATCACTTGCTTCATTCTGTTATGCTACAAAGTCGGAAAAAAAAATTTCATGCGGAGGCACGTCTTTCCACTAACTCTGTTCGACGTAAACTTTCGACTGGCTGTGCTGAAAAGGAAGCTCCCCTACCACATTGACCGACCGGTTTTACTGCGCTGCCATAGATAAATGTGTCACAATAAAATCTTGCAAATTACTTTCATAACTGACCCTGTACGAACTCGGCACTCTGTCTCAAATTTCAGAGGTAGATGTGAAGTGAATCACTTACTCTGCCAACTGATTTAAGCAGAAGAACTTTGCACACTGTGACACGGTACACACAATACAGGCAAGGAACACGGTACTGCCTAGTTTCTCTTATCTTTGTCTCTCATCATGCTGCTTAAAATTTTGTTGCTACATAACCAGATGTTTAATTGGCCCTGAAGAACATGCCAGTGTTAATGTATCGCTATGAGACTACATGGCCGACACAGTATTGCTCACTGGTAGGGTATGGCGGATCGTCAAAGATGGTCACGTGACACAGGAGCTTCCAGTCCTTGAAGCAATTCTTGCGAACTTCGGCACTGAGTGCCCCAAGATTGGTGCTGAACTCAGCTGGTTCGTTCATATCCTGCAAAGAGCATTGACAGTGGTATATAGGTAAACAACAGGTAGTGAAACCTTTCGTTTACGTGCAGCATGGCTTGAGCCAGTCACAGTGCTCTACTATGCTCACCAAACTCTATGCATTCGCCACGTCTCGGAGGCTTTTAGCAAAACTTTTTTGTTGTGGAAGCTACAACTAAATGCTGTGCTTATAGTTTCATGCAATCACATCAATAAGCTCCTGATTGATTCCAGCTCAACAACTGCTCATTCATGTGCTCCAATTCGGTGCTTATTCGTGAGACCCATAGATTAAGGCATGCTTCTTTTTCAAGTCTACCACAAACCATGCGTGCTTTGTGGTAGACTTGTGGTGGTATGTTTTGTCTAGCTCCTCCTTCCAGTCCTCAATGTTTTAAGCTATGATATTAATATCCTGTAGATATCAAGCAGACAAGATTTCATCGGCTACATTCTTATGATATTTTGAAAAATTGAGCACATTCATAATTAAGACAGTGGCCATTATGCCACATTTTTCTTACAACAGATGAATTGTAACTTTCCATAAACGTCTGAAGTTTTTTTTTTAGCCACAGTAAAATTTTTTGTGCTATCAACAACTAACCTTGTACTATCAACAACTAACCCCATCACATTTACAAGAATAGAATTTCACTGTAAGCTTTATATCCAAGAAAATAATAATTAATAATAATAAATAGTGAATATTATCTCAATACACTTACTTAGTAATGAACTAATGCATTATACATTGTGCTTTTAGCTCAAACTCAAATGTAGTCGGCAAAAAGTACTGTTGTGAAAGGCTGAAGGTAGGCTGATTCCAATTAGAAGACAAGATTGCTTTATGTGCCACAAGCATTGTGTCCATGCCTTGTAGGCATGGATACCCTTAGGGATTGGACCCAGTGCCATGAGCTCAACAGAAGCAGTAGATTGCTATACCGCTAATTATGAAATTATCTGCCAAAAAAGCTAAAGGACAGCATGCTAAAGTTGCTTGCCAGCCAGATGCCGTCGAACGGCAGCTTCTTTTGCATCCTCGCTAGTTCTTGCTTCCACCAGAAGGTAGTAGAGTTCTTGAAGAAGTCCACATATGCCACTGGACTGCAGGGCCACAGCTACATGATAGAGGTATAAAAGTTTTGTTTTAGCATGAACACAAGTGAGCTAATCAAGTAATGCTTTATTCATTTATTCGCTGAACCTCGTATGGTGTTCTGAAAAAAAAAAAACCGCCGGGTATGCACGAAACGTGCAGCACAGTCACAAAGAAAGCTGAAAGAGCAGCCTTTCAGAGCCTTTTTTAAACAATATTTGGGTAACCACCACAAGCACATTTACTGGGTAACCACTACGCCATTAATCATCAAATTTTATGTAGTAGGGAGGCACTCACTATGTCATTCTTCGTCATTCTTTGGAAAATGAGGCACCCACTACATACTTGAGCAATTTGAGCAATATTTTATCCTGTGTCCGATAACAATGAAGAATTATGCCTGAAGAGTTGAAGCATTCGATGACCCACTTGTTATGCAATTCACATTGTGTGACACTTGGTTGTTCTTTTGCTGTTCTGAAATGCTTTATTACTCATAATAACACAATTCCTTTCCTGACATCCAACCTGCCTAAGGCCAGTTTGCAACAGAGTTTCAAGCACCGGTGTGGGTCTGTGGTAGAATACTGGGTTGGCACACAGGTGACCCAGATTAATATCCCATTGTGTTTTTGGTATTTTTTATTACTTCTTTTTCTAATTTTGGGCGATAGTGGTTATGGGCAGTGGCGGTGTACAACTATTGCGCACGGGACCCTTGTGATCTGATAACAAGTCTCGCTGTAACGCTGTTGTGCCGCAATGACTCTTACATAGAAGGTAAGGAGATGGAATGCATAAATGCCTCTACATGCTACTTCATTGTGTATTTAAACAGGTGCTATTTCAATGGGCTGTAAATTGCGGCAAACCCCGCCGCAGAATAAAACCAGAATTCTACTACTTTTAATACCTGAAACTTACAGCTGGGTGAGCAGTGCATATTCACCTTTAACCCCTTGAGGCACTAATTACAATGCACTCTCTGCAAACGTGTCGAAGAGCATCGAACGCATTATTCGAAGGTCGCAGGTTCGGTCTTTTCCCAGGGCAAGTTATCTTTTCATTCCCTTTTCTTAGCATTTACATTAAAATTAATTCAAATAATATCACCTATACTTACCTTGGCCTAATTGTCTGTCAGTTCTCATTAATACTGCTCCCAACAAAAAAAATGAGCGCTTGAGTTTACCCATCTTTTTTTCATGATAACTCTAAGGCACTCGACACTACATTCCAAGAGGACGAAGTAATGATTAGAGTAGATTTCTGAAATTAGTCATAATTAGTCCTTAATTAAATACCTATATATAACCAGTAAGATAAAACAATCAAATGATAGGCTCAAAACACATGCAAAATTCGTATTTGGGTGAATGGATTTCGAGCAACAACAAAAATTTACGTTTGAGGTTGGTTTGAAACGTTTAATGTTGAACAACCTGTCTAATATTGCAGTGTCTTAACCAAGGTGACCGGCCACAGTCATACGCAGCACACTGAGGTTAAATTAAGACGCATCGATTATGAATAAGGTTAAATTCATAATACGCACAATATATTCGCCTCTTTCTTGGTCCCTAGTTCAAATAAATGACAAAAAATGAGTTGTGTCCAGTGGCATCCCTACCTCAAACCTCATTAGAACAAAGTTGTATTTTACATGAAAACAAGTCCTTTATATCTAAAAATTCACTATAAAGGTACATTCCTGACAATATATTCATTGCAAGACAATTTTCATTTACTTTGTTATAACCGATATTTTGTTATATCCAGGTTCGCTATATTGGGGTTTGAGTACATATACCGATTATCCACACCTATATACCAAAGAGAATCAAGGTGGATGCTCACAATTCCGAACATGGTGTCTCTTGGCTTGCGTGCAACAGGTGGCACGCTGCGGCGCTCCAATGGTGTCATGCTGGGATACTCGACAAATGCCTTGTACTTGCGGCCCCGCACAAATGGCTTATAGTCGGGTAATGTGCTCGGAAGTGCCGGTGTCTGTGCATTAATGTGGAGAAATGCTATGAGATGTTAAACAAGATTCGTATGCACTAGAGAAACTGTTACATGGCTGTCGCTCCGTCACTCAAAATAAAAATGGCCAGTAAAAAATGGCTGAATCTTTTATATTACGAGATACTACAACCATTAGTGCTGACTACTACTTGCCACAGGATAAATTCATTGTCAGTTTTTTCATACTCTTATAAGAAAACAGGCCCATCACATTGCCTCACCTGTATAAAGAGGCACCGGACAGTATCAGAATGTATGACACAGCATTTGTACATATAATTTAAAGATGACCCTCTTGGAGATGATCTTGGAGTACACAGACACACTAGCACCAGATAGCAAGCTATGCCACGTCACACTGCATTTGACAAAGGGGGAAGACGACATGCATCTACATGTCGCTGCCATGCCAAGTATCCAAGCTCAAAGTCTACGAGTGGCAACATGACACAAAGTATAAAAGATGGAGCTCAAACAGATTAACCTGTTTCTGTGCATATGCAAGTCATACCAGATTGATGACAAATCGCAGACCGTTCTTTGCTCGCTGCTCAGCCATGAAGTCGGCCAACCCGGCGTAGCGCACAGTGTCGACAGTAAACGTGGTCGAATTTCGCATGTAGTCGATGTCCAGATGTTGCACGTCCTGCACTGACAAAGACAGCAAATAGAAGCAAATGAATAAAGTTCATTATCTAGATGCCTATAACTATCAATGTGCACGTACTGCCACATAGTGCAGGTACACTTGAGCCCGACATGAACAGTCAGATAAAGCATCGCTCCAATTCATCTACAAAATTATAACAAATTATTCATAGAAGTCAACACTTATGTACAGGAGGTGACCAGTGAATCCGGGGATGCTACAAGTCGCAAGTACTGTACTTTATATGGGGCACATGGAAAGGATGCAAGTCCTACGATGATTCAGCTGATTGTGATGGGATACCCAATCTATTTACCTAACTAGGGTGGTGGGGAATGTCCAGCTTCCAGAACCACTATGTTTCGATGCTACTGGTGCATTAACTGGTCAATGGTTGAGGTAAGGTAGAGACAGTCTGAACACCAATGAGAAATAACTAATGTAAAATGTGGAGCTGACATTGCCACAACCATAGGTAAGTGTACAATACATACAGAGGTTTTATTAAAAGGAAAGAGCAGATACAGGTCAAATGATAGGCTGCGAATATTCGTAACAAAATTTAGTTAACTTGGGTAGTCTAAAGGGCTTTTTATAGCTGGCACATTTTCAAGAAAAATACATGAGAGTTAACATTGATGAAATAAAGCGAAGCATATCTCTGACACTGTTTTAGGCTTCAAATTGCCAGCAGTTGTCTTTTTTTTTTCAGCCTGTTTACGAACAGAGTTACAGCGTTGGGCCAAAATGTGATCTATGTCGTACACTCAACCCTCATAAAAATTTTCAAAAAAAGCCTCTGGAGTGTTTTACTACTGCTTTAGTATGTTTTACTCCATACTAAAGAAAGACGTAGGATAACTGCTTCTAGACAACTGAAAGAGTGTTTTTAGACTTTTTTTCATTCTTTGCAAGTTCTACAAATTTTCTATAAAAGGAAGGTACTATAAATGGAAGCTGTTGATTATTGCAGTGCCCCATGAGGGCTGTCAGCACCAGCTGCTTTTAGAAAGTTCGCAGAGTTATCACAAAGTCCACAGACATAATTCAGAAGCATGCATATATTGATCTCACTGGAAAATGTCAACAAAATGTCTTGAACTGTCTGAAAAAAAAAAAAAGAAACATTAAAAAGAGTGGGCTCACCACGGGGAACCCAGCCTTCTGGTTCCTCTCCAGCACTTTTTTGAGTTTGTCCAGTGACCCATATCCATATCGTGACAACTGAAATCCCAGTGCCCAGTACGGGGGCAAAAAGGGCTTGCCGATCACCTGCAACCATACAAGTTAAAACAACAATATACGATGCACATGGTGCCAGCAACAATTCTAGTATGCAGGTTTGTTAATACACGTGGAGCACTTGCACTGCACAGTGCAGAGAACACACAGAGGCAAACGAAGTGAATAACAATTGGTTAAAAAAAAGTGACACCTCCAAACAGAGTTTGGCAGTCTTGACTAGCATAGTCTTGAAGGGGTCTCGTCATCCAAAAGTTGGCCCTGTCAATGTTGGCCACTTCAAGTCTCCATTAAAACTTCGTCTTGCTTGGAGGCAAACGGGGTTATTTGTAATTTTTGGAAGTCACAGGGTATATTAATGCTATAAGGATGGTACACCACACCAGAAGACTGATAAAAGAAAAGAAAGGTGCTTAAAAAGTAAAAAGTAAGGGGCAAAGTAATGTAAAGGTAAAACGAAGTAAAGGGCAACTCTATGATGCTTCTAGTAACATTTGTTGAATCCTGTACTCTTAAGATTCGGCAGGATTACAAGAGAGCTGTTGTAGATACAGTGCAGTGCAGACAGGCCAAATAAAGGCCATAGTGCGTAGCGCTGTTAATGGCACATCCCTCTAACAAGTGCCACACGCAGACTTAGTCCAGCTACCAGTGAAAATATTGGACTATGAAGGCAAGCGTGACTATAACGTTAGTGTAAAACACATAGAAACAAGGTGAGTGTTTGAACAATTTTTATGTATTGTCTTGCATGGTGCCAGTACTGCATAGTGTAATTGAATCCACACCACATAATAATGCTCACAGAAACGACTTACACCTACAGTTTCTACGTGCACTTTATTCTTGTGTTCTCTTGAATAGACCCGTTTTGGGCATTGTCACAAGAACTTTCCGGTATTATAGTGAAGCAACCAGCCTACCAAGATGTCATTGCAAAGTTTATCAGCTCAGCTACAAACTGCAGAATCCTGAATAAGCCACTGCGGTTGTGTGGCGATGGTGATTGTAGTTCTCTGTGCCGGGCATGAGGCCACAGTTTTGTTTTCTGGCCATTAGCCAAGAGCAGTGAAAGGTTGGATGGCTCTGATAAACACCAACACTCACGTTCCAAACAGTAGCGACCTTTGCGCCCGCTTATGTGCTAATGTGGCACTGAAAGTATGTGGATAAATGCTCACACTGGAGTAGAGTTCAATGACCTGCACGGGGTTGTCGCCCACGAAAACAAAGAAGTCGAGCACTCCACCTATGGTGGCCAGCCGCAGGGCCGGAGCCTTGAGAAGCGTATACTCTGCAAGTTAAGTCCATGTGAAACAGAACACGCGACTCTTTTGGCTTGTTGCATCTTGACTATGCTAGTTGGCGACTTCCACACATTTACTTAAAAGAAATTAGCATAAATTATCCTGTAGCTTTGTGCCACATGTACGTGAATGTAAATTTTTCATTACATATACCTGGTACAACAAATTGAAGTAAACTCAGTACAAACAGCAAAAAAATTAACAGCAATGTCTAATTATAATGTGAAAGTAATAAGAAGTAGGAAGCAAAGTGAAAATTTAGTGCAGGTGATCAAAGCCCACACTTGCATAATGTGAGCTGTCAGCCATAGATTCATCTTGATTATATGTGCAATGTTAGCCATGAGAGCATTAGTAAGCACACCTGTGAGTCACGACGGTGAATGCGGTACATAGGCATCATTCATTATGTGCACTTAGGAGCAGGCAACTTATTAATAAATCCTTGTACGCTGCCATATTTACTTAATGGGATTTCGCTGTGTGATCAAAATTTGTGCCTAGTGTTACACAATGACAACTTTTATAATATTCTTCCTAGTTTTATTATCTGAAGCCTTGCAACATTTTTAACTCCTTAAGAACTCACCAATGGCATTGCTGTTCAGGAGAAGTACACCATGTGCCTTGCCCCCGTCTTCTATACACATGTAGAATGGGTGGACGCCGTAGAGGTTTTTGCCATCCTAATTTCACAGCAGGGAAAAGGAAAACAATTACCACTCATTTTCAAATCAATCAACTGAAGCTTTAGTAAGGCAGTTAGGGGTAATTATATGTTATAAAGCTTTCGATTTCCTGCAACATTTGCAGCATAGCAGTCACAGGCCTGCTAGGCTAATCAAAGATATGTGTGAGCACATAATTGACGACCCGAGCGACTGAGCTTGCATTGTTTCTGGGATCCCCCAACTTGATGTATGCCACTTATGAGGTAACTTTAGTCCTCTAGCACACTTTTACACAAGGCAAAGAACTGATCAAGACTATTGAGCAGAAGCAAGATATCCAGAGAATGAAGGACAATAAGGATTCGCTTCAATAAAGGAATCATCTGTCAATGGCATATGCTTGCTAACTGAGGTTATTTAGGCACCATAATTTGTTTGACTGTTAATGTAGAAAACCAATTGCATTCAATCCAACATCTACAGATGTTGTACAGGTATGTCACTGCATGTATTTAACTACATGAGATTACTCACTAAATGGCTGCTGTCCCGATTAGCAAATTGTGTGGAAGGAGAGGCAGCAGGAGCGATAAGGTAGACAAATCCCAAGTTTTGGCTACAAAACTTCACTTCTATAGTGATAAGGCAGTGACACAAGAGTATAGATTCTTACCACTTAAAAGAATACATCATAGCACAGCTATGCAAAAGGTATGCAAGACATTCAGTCAAAAAAAATTTGTGAGCGTTGTTTTGCCATCCCTTGAAACTTCTATCATGCATGCACTTTGTTTTATTGGTGTTGTACCTTACCTGGTATGTGCATCTATTTGCATTATCGATCAGCAAAGGGTTGTTTCTTTTGATCCTTCAGTGCATCATAGTTATATCTTCCTTGTTTAATAATAGTGTAACAATGACATTGCCAAGATTTTTAGAAATTTTTTTCACGCAGTATACTTGTTCAATGTATCCTTCACTGGATTGGTCACTAACCATCATAGGCTATCTGTCTATATAGTACTATATGCACGTAAAAATATTGCTACTAGTCCAGGTAGTACTTTCTTTTTGTTATTTACCAAATAATTGATTGAGTGACTGTTTCCACATTAGGTGCCCGATATTAATTGGTTGTTATTAGACCTCTTATGGGTGCTTCTACTGAAAGACAACATCAGAGAAAGTCCACATCAGAGCACTTCTGAAGGCACGTTTTAGTTCAATATGCAGCCTCGCATTACATCGTGACATGCTCCTTACCTCAACCACCTGGTCCCTGGCAAACATGACGTGCGTTGTGAAGTCAAACTCGTGTCGCAGTCTTTTGTGCCCCAACTCGCCAAAGCCATACAGGTTTGTCGATGGCAAGTACGTGACAAACTGCAGGTACTGGTTGGTCATCACCAGTCCGCCGATACTAGTGTCGATGCTGCATTCGCCCAGAAACTACTATCAATATGAATTCTTAAAACCACGCTACCAGTGTTCAACTGAGCAAAGTTACACTTGGTTGAACTTAATGAAACCAACAAGCAAAGCAAAAAAATTATGAAAGAATACTGTTTTAGAGTTGTATTTGAAATGTAGGAATAAGAATAGTACACAATTTTGTCTCCAGTTAAAGCATGGGAGTGACCTTGAGTGAATTAACAAGTACCATGTTGCACGAATTATGGCAAATTGTGGCAAACCATATCACTGGCATCATTCCCGCTTTCCTTATTTCTTTAGTTGCTTATCTTCAACTGTCTTCCAATGCCCAATCCATATCATGCACTCCGCACGACATTCATGCCGATGCACAGAGTTTACCATGGCCTTTGTGGTGCATGTAACGGTGGTTTTTAACTGTGGCCGCTACCCATTACACTTTCTGGTGACTGCTATAAAGTCAAGATAAGGTTCCTGAAATTAAGTAATAGCCACAGCTGTAGTCAAGCAGCCTGCAAGTGGCTTCCAGAGCCATCACTCACTGCTTATCTGAAAGTAGATTGGTACCGTACGTAGTCAAAATATTCACGCCTTGGCAACCTTCCCTACTTAGGGTGACCACCTTACTGCTAGAAAAAACACTCTGACCACGGTGTTAACACAATATGGGAAGAAACCAAATTTATTTTTTAACTTTAGAAGACTTGGAGAGAAATTTTTCTTTAAATTTTTTTATCTCTGAAACAGGGCAGTAAAGTAAGTCATCAAAGTTGAAGTTCAAATCTGTGCCTGTGCAAACAACACAATTTTATATGTTGCAACATGCTGTGACACAAAGCGAAGTTAATATTACAACATTAAAAATTTGGCACTTCAAAATAGACGCTCACAAAAAAATAATGGCTTAGCTTGCGCACGTTACGAATGCTGTTGAATTCAATGCACTGCTGAACAATAGTTATAAGGTGCGAAATGCATGACATTTTTTTTGTCTCTGGTGGGACATGCGACCACCTCCCTCAGTGCAGGACAGTCACACAAGTCAGGGGCAGGTGGTCACTTTATTTTTGATACCTACTGAAGCAAATATCATTTGGGATGGCAATAATGCATTTGCGCATGCCGGAGTCTTCACTCACAGCCTGACATCTGTGTGTCGACGCAAAATGCTGAAGTAGAAGAAGCCGCCCCTACTGCTGGTGCCCATCTTGAGGGAGTAACGTGGGTTGTCGGTGCGCCGAGGCTTGTGGAGAAACTCGAAGGTGTCTTGAACGGGCACTTCGTAGCGTTTCTCAGCAGCATTTACAAACTGCACGACATGTTGGGCAGGCGGGCATGAAAAATGCTACAGCTACAAACGACAAGAATTATGCTACTTTCTATGGAAGCAAATGGCGTGCTGTGCAATTTTCCTCATTTAATGAACCCGTATGATGACGTAACATGCAATGCTACAGACCGCTAGTCACAAGATGGTATTAAAGTAAAAAATAAAATGACCATAAGAAATAAAAAGAAACAAGCAAGCAAGAATTGATTGATTGATATGTGGGGTTTAACGTCCCAAAAAACAAGCAAGCAAGAAGACGAGCCTGTAGTGACTAGGGAACGCAAGATAAAAGAGGAAGTTATATGAACAATGAAAATTATAGCCACAGTAGAGTAATTGGTGTTGTTAAAATCAAATGACAGACCAATCTGTTATGTTGCAATCCCTGCTGTGACAACCACTGCATGCTCCAAAACACTATAAAATCCTGCCAGAATGTATAAAATCCTGCCAGAATGCATATACCATCGAGCCTTTCAAATGAGATCAGTATTAAAAACCAGCACAGCACAGGTAGTACCATTGTACAAACAGGTTCAGCTGAGCACACCTTGAAGCGGACGATCCGGTTGCTGTACTTGGTCACCTCAAACTGCACATGTTGTATGAGACTGTCTGAGTAAGGGCTGTACGGACCACCCGCATAAGTCAAGTTGAACAGGGCATGGTCCGTGTCTTGCACTGAGTAGCCAAGCAACCTATAGCCGTAGTAGTCCTTCGGCTGGAAGCAGCGAGGATACGGTGCCTCGGCATCTTTCCACAGACAGACGGCAGCCTCGCAGTCCTCCCTACGTTCCATCACTGTACGAAACATGAGAAACAATTTGAGTATGAATTGCAATCGATTTGAGCATCAAATATGAGCGTCAATTTTCTAAAGTCATTTATCAGTCGTGAATTAGCCATCTTTTCCATCTATCCAATCAAGCTAGGGAGGGCGGGAGAGGTGATTTGAGTGTCACCCAACGTTACAATTTCAAGGAATAGAAGCACATACATGCCAACAATACAGGGAAGGTTTATAGAAGCACATACCTGCCAACAATAATTCCTATGCTGGCATAAGCACCATAGATGCAGCTTCCACAGACACAACAGCCCCACAGTTATCCCTGATACTTTTTATAGGAAACATCACTGTACGATTTCATCAACCCAAGGTACGAGATGAACTGTACTCCTCAAATTTGTGTGGCCCTGACATCAAATTAGGCTGCTTGCCAAATTTTAACACATACATCTCCACATTCCTTTTCAAGCATATACAAGGAGACCACAATAAATAACAAGCATAATTGGTTACGGTAAGGCCTGCAATGCCAATCATGCCAATGAGTCCCCAATGCTCCTGCAAAAATATTCTTTTTCTTCCATAATTGTTCTTATTGCCAAAATGCATTTGACAATGCTTTAAATAATTTTCACAATCAAGTAGATCAATGTATAGTGTCTGTATTTGCCGTGTTCATAAGACGCATAGCTATAAAAAAAAAAGTCGCAGCTCTGCCGCAAAGGCGAATCAATGAACACAATAGCAACAAATTGGAAGGTAACGTGCTGAATGGTAAGCAGGTGGAAATGTACCCCCCATTTCTCACGCACAAATGACGCACGAAACGTACTCACAGGTACAGGTGAACCTGTGATAAGCGTCCCAGTTCTTACATTTCCGAGTAGAAAAGAGCGCTCTTTTCGCAAACGGAGACTGTGCAACGATTTCAGTGACCTTTGTTCCCCCGGTAACTACAACAGAATCGTTCCAGTCAAAGTCCAACGCCAGCCAAGACGTAAGATCCTACCCACCACGAGATAAGGGCGCGCGAGTGAGTGTCCACACCCTCCTCTCCGCAGGGCAAAGTACGCGTGGGAGATGAGAGCGCGCGCCGCCGCGCCGTGACGACATGGTGACGCGGGCTCATTGCGCCACATTGCTTGTAATGCTGAAAACACGATAGTTCCACCCGAGATGCCCGTTAACAGCGGTAAGTGGTATATAAATAGCTTGCCGTTTGAGCGTTGAAGAAGGTGCTCCTCTGCGGCTCAGTGGTTCACGCCTCGCATTCACGATTCAGAGGTCACACGTTCGATTCCGCGCGCCGAAGTCTTTCTCGCGATTATTTTTCTTCTTGCGTTCACATATATATAGATACGTACGCATTTACGGTGAGTGACGGCGACGTCGACGCCAACGACAAAATCCAGCGAAGAGTGTCCATATAATTGCTATCGCAATAAAATGCAATTGCATGAGGCAACAACGCTGTGCACCCGACAGGGAGAGAGAGGGAGGGACGGATGGCAGACAGACAGGACAGGTGATACAACTATACAGCCGATTCATCTTCCGCATTTTCGGACATTTCTGGAAGGTATGCAGTCAACGCCTTGAATAGTGTTCCGAGTCATTACAATGAACGACTTTTAAAAGTGATTGTGTCTCTACTTCATCGGTAAAATAATTAACAATAACCTTGTTAAATTGACATTGCATTTTTTAATTCTAAATCTGGTTAGGGTATCAACATATTTGCACAGCGCAAGACTACGAGTAGTTACGACGTAACTGCTCGTAGTCTTGCGCTGTGCAAATATGTTGATTCCCAATTACCAACTAGCCCAAGCATCTGTCTTATCTGGTTAGGGCAGCACTAACCATTATGAAGTAAAAAGCCCTGGAAATTTTACGGTTTACCGTGAAGAAAACATCTGCATTGGTGAGGACATGGAGCATGGAGCAAGTGGGAAAACTTTTTCTTTACAGGAGCTCGTTAGCTAAAGATTAATTTATCTGCTTTCGAAATCAAACCAGAGTCCAAAGACTTCCAGGAGCGCTTCCTTTGCCATCTTAGCTGAGCAACGCAAGACAACTCGCGCAGAAACATCAAGGCGAATATGCACGGTCTCCGAGATCTGCCCCATCGCTTGCACCCCGTCAAGAAACGTTGCCGCCAGCTGCAGATTTTGCAGTGGAGTGAGGCATGATCGAGCGCATTGCTTCTGCGACCGCATGAGGGGCAAAAAAATTTCGTGAAACGTGATAAACTTATTAAAGGAACCCTGGAACTCTTTTTTTCAAGTAGTCATATAATGAATCCACTAAAGGAGCTTATTGCCTCACTTCACTGCCGCATTAGTATTTAGAACCCGTTCAGCACGAGTGGAGCTACGAAGACTTTAATTTGCTGCACGCCGTAACTGCATTCTCTCATCTCCGGTCCAGACGAAAGCACTGGAAGCTATAGCAGGGGGAGATTTCACGGGGGAAGGAAGTACGTCACATGCGCGACCTTGAGTAACTTCTCTACTACTACTTTTTTTTTTAACGCGCGGCTTTTCAGCGCAATCGCAGGCACACGCGTACCCATGTCACGGCCTCCTGCGGCGGCCCCAGTAACCACCGACCGAGCGCGCCATGCTCAATTCAGCCAATGGCTGATACTTGCCTCGTGAGCAGTGATTTCAGAGCCCGTAGCATCATTTGTCGAGAGAAAAGAAAGCGAAAGATTTAGCTGGTTTTGAGAATTTATTGTGAATTCCAGGCCACGTGCTGCGCTATGATATTTAGCTAGCTTGTTTCTGGCAGTCTCTACTACCGATCGGCAGCGTTTTCTGACCATGTTCAAATTTGCAGAGCTCTTTTAGGCGCGATAGAAGTAAACAGCGCTGTGGTTCCCTGAGCCCAGTGTCGGATTTAGAGGGGGGCGGCAGGGGCGATCCCCCTTCCCCCCAAACTGGTCGGCATCCCCTCCCCCTCTATTCTGTGTTTGCCGTCTGCCTGCTGTCACCAATCAGGACAAATGAGTGGGACCACTTTGACCTCATTTTACAGCATTTATGCTATGACAAAGTGTTTGTGCTCGTAAAAACAAAAAAGTTAAAAGTTATGAGCACACATTCCTCTCCAGTGTTACTTCAAGCGACCGCCCCCCCCCCCCCACACACACACACTAAAATGAGTAGCTGGATCTGCCCCTGCCTGACACCCGCTCGCAATCTCGGGGGCCTATAGCCTGCACATATTGGGAAAGCATACACGCACACACGCAGCGGCACGACAATGAAATACGACGAACGAGCACATCCCGAGGGGGGTTTCCTCACTCGAAGGCACGGCAGCGCATGGTATCCTCTCGTCCAGGGGCGGCTCGAATGTGTAGAAGCTCACGCGCTGACGGTTGAACACGTAAGCGCCCAAGATGGCGGTCACCACAAACGCGACTTGCGTCCACTTGCTGCCTGCGTATTTGAAAGTAGTATACATATTCTCCACGCGTTTCCCGTGGCGTGTTTCATCTATTTTCCAAGACAAGAATGTTGATAATTTGTTGTGGAGTGAAAAGTATCGTAATTTGTCACAAGCGACAAAAGAAGCACATACGAAGGAGTCGACAGCCTTCGAGACGTGCAACCGACCTCAGAAAAATGCGACTAGGCACAACCACCTCATACGGCCTCCTCTCTGAAACAGCATCTTCTCATTTCTCCATTGTTTTATTAAAGCCGAAAGCCTAAAGGTACATCATCAAACTAAAAAAAAATTGACCAACGGCGGTGTCAACGCGAGTGACGCAGACAAGACCATATCATGCAGGTTCTGTAAACCTTGATATCATGTGTGTAACGACACCTTGTGGCCAGGGCTGTACACAAAAATTTTTTGAAGGGGGGTGCACCTCCATTATTTCTGGGCTATCTATCTATCTATCTATCTATCTATCTATCTATCTATCTATCTATCTATCTATCTATCTATCTATCTATCTATCTATCTATCTATCTATCTATCTATCTATCTATCTATCTATCTATCTATCTATCTATCTATCTAACTAACTAACTAACTAACTAACTAACGCTTCACTAAGTGTTGCAGCACTCAAGAAGTCCAAAACCAAAATCAAGACTATAATCAAGTATGTTATCCTCGCGCATATACGCCGGCGCTATGATAAAAATCGATAAACAACTGTTGAGAATGAAACGCAATCACATACTGGGGAATTACTGGCATAGTGGTATCTGAAATTCACAACCGTTTTTGAATTATATTCATCTTCTTTTAACACGGGCTTTCTCTCAAAATCTAAATCAGATCGCTCCGCCCCACATGACTAGTTCACGCATATATTCTGTACCTGGACTTGTAGATCCGCATCCCTCTTATCACTATCATTCAAGAATAGTTTGCGCACACGCACGCACGCACACACACACACACACACACACACACACACACACACACACACACACACACACACACACACACACACACACACACACACACACGAAATCTGCAACTCTATAGTAAATGTTTCAAAGGATCTGAATCACATATCCTGTTTTATATAACAATAACTCGCATAAGCGCGTGCACGGGAGGAGAGGGCAGGGCGAGTTGCCTAACGGGGGGGGGGGGCACAACCACTTGATCAGTACGAAAGGGGGCACTTCGATGAAACTCTGCCACCCCCACCCCCCTTTCTGACGGGAAAACTTGCGCAGGCTTAGCCGACTCGCATTTAAATGCATTTTATAGACGCACTTATTTACAACATAAGCTCTCCATCATTTTGCTTTTTTTTTACTTCTGTGCGCTTTTGTTGACGCCAAGACCAGTGCGTGCGCGCGTGCGTGTGTGTCCCACCTCTACGACAGGAGCTTCACAAGCCAGAGCACTGACTAACAATTAAATGACATTTCTAGAGGCGGTGTGAAAGAGCATCAGAATATTGCTAGAATAGAAAAAAAATGATGGAGATCTAGTACAATTCTTTATCGTGGCACTGCAAAAGACAATCG